AGGAAACAATGTGGAGGGAGGAAGGACATTAATTAATGATGGACATTAAAAGGGCATGTGATAAAATGAGTACTGGGTATTATGTAACACTGATGAATCACTGACCTCTACCTCTCAAACCAGTAATATATGTTAATTAATTGAATTTAAATTTAAAAACAAAGTAATTGGCTTCATGTTTGATTGTGGGTTTTGTTAAGTTTGAAATCCACAGGGCAGGCCTGTGGACTAGAAGGTCAGGTAAGAGTTGATGTTCCACTTGAGTCCAAATACCTCAGGGCAGTAGGCTGGAAACTTGAGCAGAGTTTCTACGTTGAAATCTCAGGGAAAATTGCTTCCTTTGGGAAAGCTCAGTCTTTGCTCACAAAGCCTTCAACTGATTAGATGAGGTCTAACGAAGATTCTTTCTTTGACCGAACTTTAATGAGGCTCCTCTAAGCTGTCCCTCAACCAGGACCTGACTTTTGAGCTTCTGAGTTGGTTTCCTCATTGTTCAATTTTAGCAAGAACCCACTAACTCAGCTTAGCCAAAATCCCTCACTTTTACTGTCCACTATTTTTCTCATCCTCCATCACAGCCCAAGTGATGACTGAACATGATGGCTTGCATTCAGCAAGATCCTGTCAGGTCTGTTTTGCCAAAATCCCCCCACTTAACTCTGAGGTTTCCTCCTAATAATTTTCCATCCACTGACATGCCATCTCCCTTAGCCTATAAATTCCCGCTATTCTTTGTATGTGAAATTAAGGCCAATATCTGTTTCCCACCACAAAGCCCCATGGAGGCAGACCTCCTAAATAAAGTCTGCATTACTGTTCTTTAACAAGTGTCAGTAATAATATCTCTTTAACAGGCTTTAACGTTATGGAGGATATTTACTTTAAGTCTACTGAAATGAACATTAGTAATGTCTAAAAAATACCTGCACAACATCTAGAGGAGTATTTGACCAATTTGACTACACTGACAGATACGATCATCTCATATAGTATAATCTCTATACTCATCTCATACTCATATAGTATAATACTATTTTATTTTCATATTAACTTTTGTTGTATAATTTTTTGTATTAATTAATAATGTATCCATAGTTTTTTCCCTAAATGTCTAATCATGTCTTCAGTAAATAATAATTTTATTTTTCCATTCCAAGCCTTATATCTTTTATTTCTTATCCATGGTTATTTCTTCTGGGTAAAATCTCCATTAACATGTCAGATTATGGGCGCCAGGGTGGCTCAGTCATTAAGCATCTGCCTTCAGCTCAGGTCACGATTCCAGGGTCCTGAGATTGAGCCCCGCATAGAGCTCCCTGCTAAGCCGGAGGCCTGTTTCTCCGTCTCCCACTCTGTCACTGTGTCTCTGTCAAATAAATAAATAAAATCTTTTTTTTTTTTAATGTCAAAGTGAAGACAAAAGGCATTCTTCGTGCATTCTCAATCTCTGTGAAAATCTTGACTTTTTTCTTTTGGTCAAGGGTATTTGCTGACTTTCCACTTATCGTACTGAGAAGATATTTTTATTCTGAGATTTTTTTTAAGTCAGGACTACATGTTTAATTTATTAAATATTTTTCTGCATCGGTTGAGTTGGTTTTTCTTTTATTCAGTTTATAAGAATTACATTAGTTCATTTCCAAATTTAAACAATTCGTGCATTCCTGTATTAAATCCATTTTTTTAAAGATTTTATTTACTTGACAGACAGATCACAAGCAGGCAGAGGCAGGCAGAGAGAGGGAGGGGGAAGCAGGCTCCCTGCTGAGCAGAGAGCCCGATGTGGGTCTCAATCCCAGGACCCTGAGATCATGACCTGAGCTGAAGGCAGAGGCTCAACCCACTGAGCCACCCAGGTGCCCCCTAAATCCAATTTACTTGCATTGTAACCCTTTTTCCCTCCCTCTCACTCCCACTCCCCATACATATACACACAACACACATATAGAACACTTGGATTTGATTTTGTTTAAGACTTTTGCACCTAAATTTTGAGTGAGTTTCACTTGTAATTTTTACTTCCTGCAATGTTCTTCTCAGATTTTGATATTATGAATATGCTGGCCTCGTAATGTAAGGTATATATTGCTCCCTTCCTCTTTTTAAACACATTTTTTGGAAGTGTTGTATAACATTGGTAATATTTCTTCCGTAAGTGATAGAATTTATTATCTGGAGGACTTTTTATAATGAATTTACTAAAAAATAAGACAGTTAAACTTTTATTTGATTCAATTTTGATAACTTGTTTTCCTAGAAATTTGTCTATTTTATATAAATTTTGAAATTTGTTGTTGTAATTTGCTTATAGTACCTTCTTGTTATGTTTTTAATGTGACTAGAATCTGTAATAATACCTTTTTTTATACCTCATGTTGTTTGTTACTTCTTTTGGTGTTGACTATTCTTTCTGGTAAATATATATTAATTATATAAAGTTGAGTTTTAGTTTCTGAATAATTTGTTCATTTTATATTATTGAATTTATTGGAATAACATGCTTATTAACTTTTAATAGTTATAGGATGTGTAATGTCTTCCTCCTTTCTTTTTCTGGGGGAGGGGTATAGGAGGAGGGAGACAAACAGAATCCTAGCTGTACGGGAAGGCTGATGCAGGGCTTGATCCCAAGACCCTGAGATCATGACCTGAGCCGAAATCAAGAGTCCAGTGCTCAGCTGACTGAGCCACCCAGGTATCCCTCTCCTCCTCCTTTCTGATAAAGGTATATGTGTGTACACACACACACACACACACACACACACACACACAAGCGCATGCGTGGTCTGTTTATAGATTTTTTTTTTTCCAGAAAGAACTAACATTTGGCTTTGCTGATCTATAAGAATGCTTCCTTTCTTTTTCATTAATTCCTGTCTTATTCTTTTTCTTGCTTTTCTTTGAAATATGTTTATAATTCCTTTATGGCTTAATACCTGTTTTTTTTTTTTTTTACCTGATTGGTTTATATAAGTGCTCCATATGTATACTGTAACTGTTAGATGCACTATTTCATGTGGGTCATTTAGGTCAATTTTGTTAATAATTTTTAAAAAATGGTATAGCTCTTAGTAATTTTTATCTTCTGATCTAATTAGTTACTCTAAGTTAGTATACTAATCTAGATTTGCCTTTCTCATTTCAGTTCTGTCCATTTTTAAAGTACAGGTTGATATTTTGTTAGAGGATTACATCCATCATCTTAATTACTATTGCATTCAGTTATATTCTCTTTACGTTTCTAGGATTTGTCGATCCATCAAATAGATTTACAGCTCATTCAGTTAAGTGTGCAGGGAATAACAGGTTAAAGACTAGCAAATTACATCAGAACAGCTAAACTCTTTTACATATTTAGACATTATTAATAATGGAATGTTTGGAATTTTTAAGGTAAATTCTAAAGAACTCATCTAAATGTCACTTTGTTAACAGTGACGGTATGTGCATTCCACACAATTTACAAAACTATTAAAGAAAATAAACTCTTGGGTTTATATTTGTATTTTCTCTTTCTTTAATAACCATATCTTCCCAGAAATGTCTCAACTTTTCAAGTATTCTAATAGTCAGATTTTTGTTCTGTTGTTTCTCTTTCTTACATTTCAGTAAGGTTTTCTTTTTTCATTTCTTTGGCTATATTCATTTTCTACTTTGTTTTAACCTTTCTTCTGTTTTAATGTAAGAATTCATAATTATACATTTCTATCTATGTTCTAAGTACTAGTATAATGATAGCTTTCATATCTAAGTTGTTTTCTTAATCTGCTTGGTTATTTTTAATAATTTTTTGTTCATTTTCCTTTCACTTTTTTTATTTTTAAAAATATTTTAAATACACTTATTTTGTTTTCTGTTTTTGAAAAATACAGTATCTTAAGGCTTTGTATATCCGAAACCTGTGGACATTGTTTTTATAGTTCTTTTACTCTCTTATTTTTTTATTTACTCACTTACTCTCATTTTAGACGTCTGGTTTTTGTGGGAATGAGTCACCCAGGTGATAGGCATCCGTGTCTGGAATTCGTATGAGTGCTTTTGCTAGGAATTTTCATTAAAAGTTTTAACTATTTTCAAATCAAAGAAAATTTGAATCAGTGAAGTTTCCTCAAGTTTCCGTTTTCGTAGGAGAAATTTTCCACCCCCACAAGTTCTTCCACTGAGAGCGGTGGCCCTTCTAGATTCCCAGCTATACCTGTCGGGGAGAGGGGTGATGGCTGGAGTGGGTAACCAGTTTGGTTACCTATTCTATTTGGCCTCAGTCTCTTATTTGTCTTGCATCTGTAAAGTCACCTGATCACCTTGCTACTAAAAATGTGGTGCTTAGAGCAGCAATTATCAGCATCTCTTGGGACTCTGTTAGAAATGCAAAATCTTAGGTACCGGCTTCAAAAGTTGTTCTTGTGGATTTTTCTTTTTGTTTTGGCTGCCCTTCCTGTCCTAGCACGTACATTTCCCAATGTCTTCTGTGTACATTAAGAAGTTAAAAAACAATTTTAGGAGCAACCGCGTTAGCCATTTAACGTAGAAAAAAAAAAAAAAACGAAAGGACATCGACATCTGTTCTGTACACGCAGTGTGTTTGCTAAGACGGGCTTATGTCCGTTGGTGCGTGATCGATCACATGCTATTAAATAGATCAGCGAGGATGAAATCCATTCGTGCTTTCGTGCCTCTGCCAGGTTCTACTAAAGTCATAGGTCTCCCCACCCCACCCCCCGCCATTCCCCGGCGAGGTTTTCTGCAAAGGTTCGTCTAGTTCAATCTCAGTAGGCCACCAAACCACCGCGAAAACCCGGAGTAACGGATTTGGGGCGTAGCTAGGATCCCCTAGGGAGCACGGAGAACTTACAGAGCATGCGCAAAGACGGATGCGCACACATGCGCAGTGGTCCGCGCAGGGCCGCGCGCCGGTCTCTCCCGGAGGCTTGGAGCTTGCGCGCGGTTGACGTGTTCCGTGGCTGTGGAGGCGGCGAGGCTCTGGGAGGGGAAGGAGCAGAGGGAGGGAGGGTGAGGTGGGGGGCTGAACCCGGAAGTGGGTAGGCGCTGGAGCGAGCGCGCCGAGAGTGGAGCTCAGCGGCTGGGAGCCAGCGGGGGAGCCCTGGGTTCCCGGTAATGGATCTGTGGGGCGTTTGCCCTGGGAAACTGGGGTGGGAAGGGTAGCGGGTTCGCGTCGGCGAGTGCAGTCTTCGTTTGGGCAGGGCCCGGGAAGGCTCTTCTGCTTCCTTTCGTCGTCCCTGTGGTTGACCCTACTCCTCCTGCTCAGCGCCCCTCCTGGGGCCGTCTCCTGCGGGGTGGTTTTGGCCGTGGGACGCTCTGGGTCCCTGAGGAGGTGTGCCTTGCCCGCCCTGGGAAAAGGCATGTTAATGGAGAGACGTGGATTTCGCGGCCGCGACGGCCTTATTGTCACCAACCCAGCTCCCCTAAACATGAATGTAGCGCGCCTCAGCCTGCACCCTCAGCGATCTTGGAGGGGGTCCTTCCATTTTTTGCCCTCCTTTTTCTCACCCCGTTCGTGAATCGGGCCTGAAAGGTGTGCCCCGGCTTCCTTTAAAATTATTCTTTTGTTGGCTGTCTTTTATAACCCGGCCCTCCTTGTTCTCCACCCTAAAATCTTAGACACGAATGAGTAGAACGTGTGACTTTATCCAAATTTAGTTCTATTTTAGAAAGGGTTAGACGAATGCCGCGAATAATTTAGGATTGCTTTGCCATGGAGTTTTTTTTTACGTGGTTGTTACTCTTTTGCAGACCATGAAATCCTCGGGCACGCCCCTCCAGAAGCTGTTAACCTAGACAATCTAGTTTTTTGTTTTTTTGTTTTTTTTTTTTAAATAAATCCTTTAAGACACTTATGAAGTTTCTTGTTCTGAAATTGTTGTACTGCAATGAAGAAAAGGAGAAAGGTTACTTCAAATCTTGACGAGAAGATCCATCTAGGCTATCGCAAAGATTCTTCAGAAGGCAATGTTGCAGTGGAGTGTGACGAAGTAACCTATACTCATTCCACAGAGAGACCAACTCCTGAAGCTCTTCACTGTTACCAGGAACTTCCTCCCTCTCCAGATCAGAGAAAACTTTTGAGTTCTTTGCAGTATAACAAGAATTTGCTGAAGTACTTAAATGATGACAGGCAGAAGCAACCATCTTTCTGTGACTTACTTATCATAGTAGAAGGAAAGGAATTCAGTGCCCATAAAGTTGTTGTTGCTGTTGGCAGTAGCTATTTCCATGCCTGTTTGAGCAAAAATCCAAGCACTGATGTTGTCACCCTGGATCACGTAACACACTCAGTTTTTCAGCATTTGCTTGAATTTCTTTACACATCAGAATTTTTTGTGTACAAATATGAAATACCCCTTGTTTTAGAGGCAGCAAAATTTCTGGACATTATAGATGCAGTTAAGTTGCTAAATAATGAAAATGTTGCCACTTTTCAGTCTGAGCTGGCTGAAAAGTCATCACCAGAAGAAACACTCAGTGAATTAGCTGGAAGACTATCAAATAATCATCAGTGTAAATTCTGTAGTAGACATTTTTGTTATAAAAAGTCTTTAGAGAATCATTTAGCTAAAACTCATAGGTCCCTTTTATTAGGGAAAAAACATGGGTTAAAAATGCTGGAGAGGAGTTTTTCCACAAGAAGATCTAAAAGGAATCGCAAGTGTCCTATTAAGTTTGATGACACCAGTGATGATGAACAAGAAAGTGGTGATGGGTCAGACAATTTGAATCAAGAAAATTTTGATAAGGAAAAGTCAGACAGAAATGATTCTGAGGACCCTGGAAGTGAATATAATGCTGAAGAAGATGAACTAGAGGAGGAAATGTCAGATGAATACTCTGACATTGAAGAACAAAGTGAAAAAGAGCATAATGATGCAGAAGAAGAACCTGAAGCTGGTGATTCTGTAGGAAATATTCATGAGGGGTTAACTCCTGTAGTCATTCAGAACAGTAACAAAAAGATATTGCAATGTCCTAAATGTGATAAAACATTTGACCGCATAGGTAAGAAAAGAAAGCTTGTTTTCTGTCTCTCATAACTTCTCCTGATATTTTAAAGGTGATAATGAAAAACTAAATTTTGAGGGTAACTTTTGAAAGGAATGCTTAACTAGGGTAGGTATTTGATAGTCAATACATATTATATCCTGTTCTTTTAAAATTGTTTCGATTCAGGAATTTATTTTTTATTAGCTTTTATTTTCTCTACCCCATGTCCCATTAAAAGGTGGCAGATCGTTAGTTCAGGTATTTGGTATGAAAAAACTCCAGACTTAATAATTATGAATGTAATGTTTTGATTTATATGTTGATTTAATTTCATAGATAAGTGCTATTTTTGAGTGATAGAAAATTGAATTCGATTATATTACTCAGTTTAATAATTTGTGTACTATTTCCCCTTGAACCTGGCTATATTTGAATTAGAAACACAGTCACTTCTCTAGAATCTAGTACTATATAGAATTGGAATGTTTCAGTTTAGCCTTGTAGTTAAGAATAAAACTGATTTGAATATAATTCTGTAGGTAGAGACTAGGAAATGTCTTGACTAGTAGTCATTGGTTATTATAATAACTAATAAATCGACTTTTCCTTTATTAGAAAAGTATATGCAGGCGATGTGGTCTATAACCTTAAGTTAAAAATGTCAGTGAACATATAATTTCAAGAGGTCTAATATTTGCTAGTAAAATAATTTTTAGAGCTGTTTTATATGAGGAGTTCTAATGTGAACTTTTAAATTGCAGCAATTAAGCTGTTTCTGTATAAATCAAAATTATGAAATTATGAAATATATTTCACCACATATAATGTTAAAAGGAACATTTAAGCGCAGTTTGACCTTGTAACATTATTATGCAGTTTAATATATCCCCATGTATTTTGCAGTGTTGAGTTACTTATGTTACTTGGTTTAGGTAGAAATTGATTTAATAAGATACTGATAATCATTTGCTCTCAAAATATAGGACAGTACATACTACAGCATAAGTGGTAACCGCTTTTTGCTTTTTATTATGCCTTGGAATCTCCGAATTAGAATTTTTGACAGTCCAATTTAATAATTACTTATCACTGTTTTTACTGTGTTTGAGACTCAAACATGAATCAAATAACTTTTTATGAGTAATTCAATTGGAAGAGCATAGGAATACAAGGAACTTGCTAAATTCAGACTGGATAAATTATCTCTCATAGAGCTGAAACAAGTACTGTGAGAAGAGAATATTTTTGGATTCAGATACCTGAGAGCACATTATCTTTTCAGTAGGTTCTGCTTCTTCGACTTTATATTCCTAGTACATGCCTCCTCTGTTCTGCCTTAACTTGGCCTAATTTGACTTGAGATGAATGAACGGGTCAGGGCACAAATGGCATTGTAGGCCCAATACTTAGATTTCTGAACTGTCCTGTTGAACACTAGGGCTGTGAGATACTTTGAGAGGATTTCTTGTTCAAGTAAGATTGGAAAAAATGTATACTACAGTTCATAGTCTGTAATAACTGTCAAATTCTCTAGTAAAGAAACTTGGTAATTTCATTTAGTCTGGCATTTCCTCAAATAATTTGATCATAAGACCCTTCTGTGGTACTTCTTTAATGTCCAAAAAACCACTACAGTTCTTTGCACACAATTTAGGAAAACACTGTGCAAGATTAAGTTCCTGATATACTAAGAGGAAGGTGTTTTGCAGTATCTTTAACCAAGATTGTGAGAATCAATAGGTCACATTGTAGACTTACCTGCCGCCTACCTTTCTGAATGCATTGGATGTTATACCCCTCTTTTATCCACCCCCTCTTTTGCTTCAGTCTCACACAGGGCTGCTTGCTTTTCAAAACCCAGGACTGAAGAGAAAGAGAGGGGAAGATTGAAAGTGAGATTATATCATACTGGCTAAAAAACATGAGCTATAGTGATTTCAGACCATCTGCATTTTTTAATCCAGGTTTTGGGCAGGTTACTTAACCTGTCTGTATTTTTGTTTTCCTCATAGGTAGAGTGGGATGATGCTAATGTAATGCTAATAGTACCATCTCATGGAGGTTGTTATGAGAATTAAATGGGATAGTCTTCTGAAGCATTCAAAATACTGTGTGAAATTTAGGTGTTCAAGGAATATTAGCTGCTCTTATTGTTAATTAATTGAATAGTTATTGAGTCGCTCTAATACCAATAAATAGATGGGAAGTTATATTTTCTGTGTTCAAGTTCAGTGAGTACATGCAAAAACACAATCATATTGCAGTGAAGGTAATCTTACCAGGAAAAGTACAAAGGACTAAAGGAATCAGTAAAGATTTCATAGAGCAGGTAGCATTAGAGCTTAGAAATAAAGAATAGGGAAGAATTTATATGGCAAAAGGACCAACATGTGCAAAGACATCATCAAGGTATGTTGTGTTCTGGAAATTGCTGAGGGGTGATTTCAAGATGCATAAGGAGGTAAAATGAAAATGATAGATGAAGATTGGCACCTAAGCAGAGGTCAAATTTTGCATGTTTTTTATGCTGTATAGAATGTTTAGATTCTATCCAGTGAGTGATAGAAAAAACTTGGACAAAGGAAATGGCAGCCTATTGAAGTTTTAGGAAGGTCATGCTGGCTTCAGCACAGAGAATGAAATTGCAAAGGACCAGAAGGATATTGTTGGCTTGGACTAGTTAGATGAGTAGCACTGAGAATGGGCTGTGGGACGAGGGTAGATCAGAGAGTTGCACTGAATATAGACTAAGTGGACTGGGTGATGGATAGAATGTAAATGTGGAAGGAGAAGATCCATGTTTCTTAAATGTCCTCCTTTTTCATCTCCATCAGAAGTCCGTTTATTCTTTAAAAAACAAAAAACCAAAAAACAGTTCAAGGACCATTTTCCAGTAAGCCTTATAGCACCCATATTCCTGTCATATGATTTAAAAATGCCTACCTAGATTTTTGGTTATTTATTTCTCATTAGATTTTAAGCCTGAAAATTTTGTGTCTTCTGGTTACTGTCCTTTGTTGATACTCTAGGTCATTTCACATATTAAGTTTTCATTCAGCAAGCTCCTGTTCAAGTGAACAAAATTGAAAGGTTGGTATCTGACTTAACTTTGGACTTTTAAGAAGCCAGTTGGGCTTCTTTATGAGCTTCTAACTTTGGTATCTTGGAGTAGGTTATGAGAATTAATGAATAAGCTGTGAGACCTGCTGGAACCATTAGCTCGACAATTTGTAGTCGACTAATTTGATTCCATTACTTTGGATCTTTTATCCTTTCTGATGTTTTTAGTAGTTGCTAGGAGTGGGACTCCAGATCTAGTTATATTTTTCCTGAGGCTACCAGCTGTCTTCCTCTCTGTGTATTCTCATGCAAAAAAAGTCCTTTGACCTTTCCCCTTAAGGTTAAAGTGGGTGAAAAAACCTAGTGGGTGAAAAGGCAAAAATAGGGAAAAGATGACAGATGGGGTGAGAGAGAAAATTTGGATAATTTATCTTTTTTATTGTTCCTGCTGGGAACTAAAATCTTTCTTTGGATTAAATTTATAATCTCTTCTAGAGGTAGAAAATGCTTTATAGCTTTTTTAAAAATGTGACTCTCTAGACCAACCTGACAGAGATTCCACTTTGTTCTTAATAGAGAAGAGTTATAGCAGTGACACAATACTTTAAGGTTAAGTATTTTAGTTAAGTATTCTTTAGAGTATGCCATATGAATAAATTCAAGGAATAATAGAAGATTTAGCAATATCAAATAAATAACAAGCTAATTTGACAATGTTTCTCTTTGTAAAAACTGCTCATGAAATCTGACAATGGTAATTTTGCATAACCCACAGTGGGCGGGCGGATAATAAATTTTTAAGCACAAGGTCAAGTGTTTTCATGTGAAAATTTCTTTATTTTAGGATGCAATTCATATTGGGATTTATCTCAGAAAAATTCTGTGGATGAAATTTGTTAGTATTATGCATTTTCTTTTGGTGATCAAGAATGGTTGGATATAGTATATTATTCTCTGAAGGAATACTATTTTTTATTGAAAGTTTATTTCAAAATGCAAATTTAGCCTTATTGTTGAATCCACCTGCACCCCATAAAAAAAAAGAAGAAACAGATTTAGATGTTGACTGTATTTATGCTGAGTACCTCCCACACTGCTACCAATTTTTTTAAACATGAAATTTCTTTAGAGATTACAATTCTTCCCCACTAGCCCCAGGAGATCTACCTGACTCTTACGGGTTCAGTGTTTCCACAGAAGTTGTGTCTCTTCTGTTGTTAAGAAAATCAAATCCATATAGATAACTGGCCTTGCAATGCTTATGTGCATAAAACTGAATTAATAACTTAAAAGAGTTTTTTCACCTTAGAGATTCTTAATGTCATAATCAGTCATTCAGTTTTATGTTATTTTCATTCATCTCTTTGGATTCTGCTGAATTTATTGAATTTTTTAAAAATTTTGTCTCTTCTGATTAAAATTGTTTTTCTTGGTTGAATCTTAAGTCTACTTGTCTGTAGGAGAATAGAAGTTGAATAGTTAAAATTGCTTTTGACTTTTAATTTAACTGTCATTTTGATGGTTTTACTATTCAGCTACATGTATCTTAATTTGTATTTGCAACCAAGAAAAAATTTATTTAATTAAAGGGAAAATGTTACTAATGATTAACATCTTTTCAGCAAAGACATTTTCATAAAAATTACAAAATTTGGTGAAATATTTTTCTTACTTTTCTTATACTTTAAGATTTTATTAGGCTGCTGTTTTTGTTCACTTGGGTATAAAAATGAGATTTAAGCATTAGATGGTTGGTTTTCTTTTAACTAAACGTGCACAGTTAATGCCCAGTTAAGAGTGGGCCTAGTCTAAAAAAAAAAACTTCAAGTTAATCACTTAAAATCACACACTATATATATATATATATACTCTTGATTTGTTTATACTTTTTTTAACCATAAATATCTGTCACTTGCATAATTTGAAATTTAATAAAAATGAAATGTGAAAACTTTCACAATCAAAGAAAACTTTTTAATTGCATGCAAAGACCTCAATCTTTTTGAAGTTAAAATTGGGATTTTAATACATAATGATAATGTTTAAATTCTATACTTTATATTTAATTGATTTGTAATAAAGGTTAAGGAATCTAACACATACATGCCATATTATAATAATAGAAAATGAATAAAGTCAACTCCCAAAGAAATATTTTCCCAAAGAAAATATTTTCACTTGAGAAAGATTATTATAACAATAATGGTCTGGTTATACCCTGCAAAAAGTAATATAAATCAGTGTTTTGGATAGTTCAAGGTCAGAGATGCATATTTTATTATGTAACATACATATTTACACATGTGCTCATACATAAATTGAAGCAAAAAACTGCACAAAATTAATGTGAATACAAAATTAATGTGAATACAGGCTCCCCGCTGAGCAGAGAGCCCTATGCGGGACTCCATCTCAGGACCCTGAGATCATGACCTGAGCAGAAGGCAGAGACTTAACCCACTGAGCCACCCAGGAGCCCCGAAAAGTGAAGTTCTTACAGCATTCTCAGAGAGCTGAAACTCCACTTTTATCTATAACAATGTATATTCATTAATCAGTTTTATCCATGTTTATATTTGAAGTATACCTACATGTCTGCACTGTGACTAGTAACCACATAATAATAGTACTAAATGACTAATATTTCTTAGCGCTTACTCCGTGCTGGAGTGTCTTAAGCATTGTATGTATAATAACTCATGTACTTCTCACAACCCCATGCAGTATTACTAAATTCAGGGAGGTTAAATTGTTAGCTTAATTAAGATCACACAGCTAATTTAACAAGTGACCAAACATTGAGTTTTCTGACTATATGTATGTAAATAATGCATCAACCATCATCTCTGTGGTCTATACATAAATACCTAATGGATTTTTCATCATACTTCTGTTTTTCTTTGCCTGTAATTGTCAGCCTTCCCCCCTCCCTTGAAAATATTTTGTTTCCCTTTCTTGCCTATTCTTTATGTAAGTGTAGTGGAATTAATTTTTAGGTAATATACTATGTGTTTATTAAATTTAATCATACATAGATATATGTAATAGATTGGTGAACTCATTTATTTTAGTAAGTAGAAAAATAATTGTGATTATCTTTTTTCTTCAGTGGTCTGGAATATTTTGTTTTTTTCCTAATTTCCATGCTATATATAGAATTTTTTTCTAAGTGTATGAAATGCTGCTACACTTTTTACATTAGCTTTGGCCTGAAGAAAAACTTATACATTTATTTTGCAGAGCATAGCTAAGCTTTTAATTGAAAACTACTGTTCTTACTGATAATATTTTTTTCTTATTTTTATTGCTATTCGCTCAGAAGTATCCTTCGTTGAAATTTCTACTTTAAACTGCTAGATGTGCACGTTCACAGCTTTGATTCCAGAGTAATAATAACAAACATTAAGTGATAGTTTATAATGTGTCAGACACTGTTAGAAGTGTTTTTGGTTTTTTTTTTTAGAAGTGCTTTAATTTGTATTGATTCATTTATTCCTATGACAGTCCTATGAAGTACATATTTTCATTTCATATTTTCACTTGAGAAAGGTTTTAGGCCATAGAAAGGTTATTTGTCCAGGGTCCCACAGCCTGTTATTTTAAGTGCTAATATTTATATCTAGGTGCATGGACCCAGGGTCTGTGCCCTTACCTATTCACATCCTAAATAATGATGTGAAAAAATTTTAGTCTAAATAAGAAAATAAATAAAAATTAAGTCAATTTTTACTTAATTTTTTATTGTAACATTTTTCCCTGGAAAGTCCATGTTAAAATTTCTTTTTTTTTCCCCCTTGCTGGAGAAACCTGTAATATTTGTATAGGATTTAGATATGTATTCAGATTATAATACAAATATCACATTAATATAACTCTGGGTATCTATGCATTATACCACTTCATCTTTTCCTTTTCCTGCTTTCTTCGATACTGCCTGTATATGTTGGATTTAGCAGTGTAGTGTTAAGCATGCACCAAGTACAGGTGATTTACTTGTTTCCTAATATTTTATAAGTTGGGAGAGATTTTATATGAATATGCTGTAGTGAAGTATAGGTTTTGTTGAGTATTCTAGATGTGTGGTACCATTTCCAGATTACTTTCTTTGGGAAGATAGATAAAACATACATATAATATACATAATATATTATTTTGCCTTTTTAAGGTATTTTTGGAAGGACTATCAAATCTGAAAATTTCTTTCAATTCATGCATATACATAGTAAAAGTGAAGTATAAAAATAGTAAGTCTTAAGTGATGAGTAGAACTTTTAGTGAAGGTTAATTTTAAATTAAAAAGTATATATATTTTAAAGTTTTATTTACATTCGGAGAATTTGCCGACAGAATTTTAAGCAAATTTATCCAAAGTCTTGATTTTTAAAATGTGTAAACATGAATAATTGGATTTTTTTAATGCCCCAAGTTTTCAAGGAAAGCAGTGAGATCAAAATAATAAGTATTGAGGTTTATTAGAGATATATATTTAGATAAACTTTTTTCTACTTTTGTGTGTAGGTCGGTGTGTGTATTAAATATGTTATTAATCATGAGATTTTTATTCCACTGTCAAATTTTAGTCACTGTGTACTAAATGTACTGAATTTAATTTTATCTCTTTTTATAGGGAAATATGAGAGCCACACACGTGTTCACACAGGTGAGAAGCCCTTTGAGTGTGATATTTGTCACCAGCGCTATTCGACAAAGTCTAACCTAACTGTTCACAGAAAGAAGCACAGTAATGAAACAGAATTTCATAAGAAGGAGCACAAGTGCCCTTACTGTAATAAACTTCATGCAAGCAAGAAGACTTTAGCCAAGCATGTTAAGAGGCAAGTATTATCTTGCTTCCATAATATACTTTATTGTGCCTTCCAATTTAAATAGAGAGTAAGCTAAAAACATCTAAGGAGTGCTTGTCTCCAGTTCTTTCTTTGCTTAATATTTTGCAAACAATTTTGATTGCAAATATATTTCATCAAGAATTTATTAAGAACAGCAAATGTTAGTTTTTTTTTTAATGCTATTGAGATGGAGGATTTTTTATGTTGAAATGAGAATTACAGAAGTTTAAGGCAGCATTTTGGTTATCCTTTTTTATTTTGGGTTTTGACAAGTATATTTTCAGAGTACATGGTTTTAGAATCCTAGGAACCTTATTCCTCATGCTCAACTCTGTCTTTAGTGTATAAAAATTTGTGAAAGAAAGCATGTTTAGTACAGTATTGCATATTTAATTTTAAGAAAGGAAGTTTTTTGAAATGTGGGCCAAAAAAACCAAAAAGTCAAGTGATTATCTGTGAATAGCTAGGTTTCTGAATGTATGACTGAGTTCCTGAATTTCTTTGACTATTTCTGCATAAATTTAGACTTATACATTTTTAAAGTGTTAACAATACCTGTATTCTTAAGGTATTTACATGTGCCTGTCTCTTTATGAAAGAAACCAGCACCTGATTCTTATAATCACTGTTGACAGATCGTATGGAATATGGACTTAACTAATACATTCTTTTCCTAATATTCTTTTTTTTTTCTTGTAGATTTCATCCTGAAAATGCTCAAGAATTTATTTCCATTAAGAAGACCAAGAGTGAAAGTTGGAAATGTGATGTAAGAGCTTTTGATTTGTAGTAGAAAACCAAAATAAATGTAATGTTACCTTTGGGGAAGGTAATTAGATTTTAGAGTAATACAAAACCTAGCTTATCTCACTTTTTTAGAATCTTTCTTTTATACAAGGTTATCCTAATTTTTGTAAATTAAGCCCCATAGAGATTAGTTTTCAGATGGTGGACCTGATGGAAATCTTAATTTTTATTTTTAATATAAGTACCCTACTATGTGCTTATAGTTATATATGTATATAAACTGACATTACCATATAAGTAGGAGTTAAAATTTATGTTAGCACCCCCCCCCCCCACTTCTGGTTATCTATCTCAAAACTTAGTGGTCTTTAACAACCGTTTTATTATATCCCACCATTTTATGGGTCAGTAATCTAAATTTGGAGCACAGCTTTGCTGGGTAATTCTGTTCCACATGGTGTCAGCTGAAATCACTCAGTTGTTTTCAGCTGATACAGGTGGTTTGGTTTGGTGTGGAGCCACTTCCAAGTGGCTCACTCACATGGCTGGAACTTGGCGTTGGCTGACAACAAGGAGCTCGGCAAGGACAGTTGGCTAGGGACCTTGATTCTTCTCTACAAGTAGTCTACTCAAGAGGCTACTTAATCTTCTTTCTATCATGGTAGCTAAGCTCCAAGAAGCATAAGTAAAAACTATCAGACTTAAAAAAAAAAAGATTTATTTTTAGAATGAGAACACATACCAGTAGGGGGGAAAGAGCAGAGGGGGGAGGGAGAGAATCTCAAGCAGATTCCCCACCAAGCATGGAGCCTGATGTGGGGCTCAGTCCCACGACACGATAACCTGAGCCAAAATCAAGAGTCAGATGCTTAACCGGTTGAGGCACCGAAGCACCCCAAAACTATCAGATTTTTTTATGGCCTAGCTTCAGAAATCAGACAGCATCACTTTCAGCCCATTCTGTTGTTCAGACAAGTCACTATAGCCAGGTCAGATTTAAGGGGATGGGGATTAGTTTCTGTTTTTCCAGTAGTAGCAAAGAATTTTTAGATAATCTACCACACCCCCTAAAGTACTTTTTATAGGTACTAGTGTTTGAATATAGGTAAATATATAGGTATATAGGTAAATATTGTTTGAGAGAGTCACAAGCTCTCACTTGTCTTCCTTATTTTCAGGCTTCAGTTTATATATACAGCAAAATGACCACCATTTTTCTGATTTCAGCTTCTAGGGATTAAAGTTGATTATTAACTATTTGGATCTACATAAGTTGCTTTCTTCTCCTTGCTAAGCTTCATCATCCTCAGCTGTAAAATGATGATAATAATTATATCTACCTCATAGGATTATTGTGAGAATTAAGTAAAATAAACCAAGAATTATTTAGCATGGAGCCTGGTGTATAGTACATGCTCTATTACTGTTTTGTTGTTGCTGTCATTGTCATCCTAGCAGCCCCTTCTCCTCTCCCCCTTTTAATAAAAAAAAAATTAAGACTTTATTTTTTTAGAATATTAAGAGTTTTATAGCATATTTTTTGAGGAAAGTATAATGATTTTCCATATGCCCCCTGCCTCCACAAATACATAGCCTCCGCCCCCATTATCAGCATTCTCCCATCAGTATATCTGTTACAATGATGAACCTGCATTGACCTCCTCCTTTTAAAATCTCATGTCTGCCAGATTTCTTTAAAAAGCTGTATCTCTTACTTTTGACTACTTTAAGAGATAAATTCTAAAATTATTTTTATGTGGTTTTTTATTCCTATTGCTAATTAAATATATGGCAACAATAAAATAAACCATTTTATTCATGACATATAAGTGATTTAAAATATAAATGTAATGGATTTTAGAAACATTGACTAGAATTAAGATACTGAGATTACTGTGTAATCCTAGAAATTAGCCTGTTAGAAATGTAAGGAGTTGAAATTCAGCTACCTTTAGTACAAATTTAAAATAACCTCATACTATAATTCCTCCAAGGCATTTTTTTCTGCACAATGAGAATTTGATTATACATTTGGTAACTTTTCTGTTGGAAGCAATTTCTCTTTAATCCTTGAATTTATATGTTTATATCATGAGCGTGGTATTTTAATTTTTAATCCATGTTCCCTTACATTTTGTGTACATTTTATTTTAGATTTGTAAGAAATCTTTTACTCGAAGACCACACTTGGAGGAACATATGATTCTACATTCTCAAGATAAGCCTTTTAAGTGTACCTATTGCGAAGAACATTTCAAATCACGATTTGCAAGGTTAAAGCATCAAGAAAAGTTCCATCTGGGTAATATGCAAATTACTTTTCCTAAGAACAGTCATGGCAATTATTTTTTTTAATTTTCCAAGATTTTATTTATTTTGGGGGAGGGAGAGGCAGAGGGCAAAGGAGGACAATCTCAAGCAGACTCTGCACTGAGGGCAGAGCCTGACATGCGGCTCTATTTCATAAACCTGAGATCATGACCTGAGCCGAAATCAAGAGACAAGATCAAGATCAACCGACTAAGCCACCCAGGCACCCCAGTCATAGTAATTATTGATTATTACATAATGCTAGAGGAGCCTGCTGCTGTTGAACCACTTAGGAAAAGGAAGTCAGATAAATTGGGAGGAACACTGGTCTTGTTGCTGTTCCTGCAGACAACTAAATATGTTTAATTTCTGTTTTGGTAGCAGATGTGCCTGTGGTCATAAACTATTTTTATTCACAGTTGATTGTTGGATAGGTCTGTGAGTGCTTGAATAAGGCATTTTTGTTTTGGAAAAAACTCATTTCTCAGGGAATGAAATGAACCTAGTATATGCGGAATTCTGTATTGTGTTTGATGAAACCTTTGTCTAGTGCTTATGGCCACAGTGGAAACTTGTGTGCTAGATGGTAGTACAGTTAGGTACATTTATGACAGTTAATACTGATAAGGAATTACTCTAGTCCAAAGTAGAGGCTGTTTGCTCTGCAGCATTTGGTGGTATAGTGGTAAGCATAGCTGCCTTCCAAGCAGAAGGCAGCCTTTTGCCTGTCCTAGTCAATGTTTTTTATTGACAACTTAGATAAAAATATATACTTTGTGCTTATGAAAAATTTGTGGATGACATAAAGCTGGCAGGGGTAGTTGATATGGCAGGAAATAAAAATGTAAAAAAACATCTTTGTGCTATAGAAAAGGTTAAAATAAATTAAGTTAAAATTAATTAAGAGTAAATACAAAGTCATAAACATAGGAATTATCTGACTTTTAGTCATTGAGGATTGCGGAACTATAAAATGGTACAGAAGTCGAACTCCTGTATTTATAGATGGGCTTAAAAGCAGAACTTTTTAGGCACAATCTGAACCAAGAAAATTGCTGACAAAAACCACTATAGTTTTAAACTATATTAATAAAAATCTGTTGTTCAAAATCAGGGAGGTAATTATCTCACTGATTTTAATTTCATCTGGAATATTGCATTCATTTCTGAATACCACATTCAAGATGGATATTGAGAAGTACATTCTCAAGAGGTGGGTAATTACGGTGACGTAGGGTCTTAAACTTATTTGAAAGAACCTTGCAATAATTTATCTGGGAGAGGTAGAACAATTGTGCTATAAGGAACCTTTAGTCTTTGCAATTTTATTATATAAGACATGTATGCTGGAAGATTATTTTCTTAGTACTTTTTGAATGGCCTTTAGTAAGTTGTTCTATCAGAGTATTTCATCGTAGCATTTCTAAGAAGCCATCATATGAGGCAGTTTTTATACTAACTAGAACTGTACTTACAGACATATTCATGATCGCATGTTCCATGTGAGAAATTTCTTTATACATTAGTACAAGGAAAAAGAATTTCTTTTGGGTAATTGGGGGCTTCTTCCTTTTGAGATGAAACCATAGGTAATCTTTTTGTCCCTTGTTACAGAAACATGCAAAATATAGTAATTTTTATGGTTAACATAGTTGCTTCCACTTCCTTTTTCTGTTCCTGATTTTCTATTTCAACATTTGTTAAATGTATCATTTAGTAAATACATAGACATATAAGACTATCAAGTGAATATCCTAAGGTATAAGTTTAGTTTCAATTTAGAAATTTTATAAAGTATTGGAACTTATAAATTGAAGTAACTTGTCTTGCACAATAGTTATTTTCCCATCAGTAAAATTATACAAGCAGATCCTTGAACTGATAGCAGTTAGAATTACTGAAGAAAGCATTCCTGAAAAGGTGGTTGAACTAGAACTATGTGCATATGTCTTATATATGTATGCTATTTGTACATATATATATAATATGTAGTATATACATTTTATGTATACATATATCACACCTCTATGCTTCTGTTTACTTGAATCACTGTATATTAGGTGAGTGGTTCAAGTCTGAGAGGGGGCCGAAGAATCTGCATTTCTAACACGTTTGCAAGTGATGCTGATGCTGATGGTCGTGTATATTACTGTGTATTACAGACAGTGTAATTACTGCTGTGTGTATTACTGCTTTAGGTTATTCAAGGACATACATTCGGATTATATATTCTATAAATCAGAGGGAGAGATTTCTAAGAAATACAGTCTGAACAGTTAGGGTAGAAGAATATTTAATATATCTCTGTGTATAAGTATAAAAATCATAGTTGGCTTTAAAGTCAAATCTTCTAATTTTATCCTATTTAGAGGACGCGGAAACTGTTTTAGTAATCTCTGAGCATAGCTTCATAAATACAAGTTCAGGGAGGTTTAACTGCATGCAAAACTGGGTATCTAATATAGGGGAAAGAACATCGGTATTTCCTTTGATGAACTGGTAGATAACTGAACTTGAAAGAGAATGCTCCTTTCTTTCTTCACCCAGCTGGAGCCTTCAGGAATACATATAATTATTTCACTGTTTGCCTAACATACACTTGCCATAATATGCTCATCTCACTTTTATTTGCTTCATCTATTTATCTTTTAACTGTGCAAATACAGAATCTCTTTTTTTCCACCTTCTTGGAATTTTTTCTGGGGTGGGAGAGGGATGGAAGAGGAGGTAGAAGGATTTTCCGTAGCACTCACTACTTTACTTAACCCAGTGCTAGATATGAATTAAGAATCAATAAATACTTGTTGAATTAGTTAATAATGAATAAAAGGCTCACACCTCATGGAAGATGAAATATTAGAGATTTTAAATGAGAATATGTTAAAGATACTTAATATATTTTGAGGTCATCTCTCAAAAATAATGTTGAAACTCCCCCAAAACTACTGCGGCTACTGAACAATTCTGCTTATAGACATGTTTCTGAATTTCAGTGTCCAAATGCCATTTTTTTCCCGTTTTTCTGTTATGATTAATTTCTCATTAAAGTTCGCAGTAGAGTCTACAATATTTTCAGTCTAGGCAACATCATTAAAAATTTGTGTTTTTGAGGAACAGCAGTTCATTTCCAGTTTACGAACTCTCTAAAGTCCTTTGTTTATTCTTCCAAGTTTCTCAGTACCTTCTTTTCCCAGAAAACTGGTATGTAACGTTTTTTACTTTGTTCCAGTCTGATTTCAAACTGGGAATTGGCCATTTCAGGTTATTGACCCATTAGATTATACAGCATTTATTATTTTAGATGCCACACCCTAAACTCAGCTCTAGGCATACAGGGATGATTGTAACTTGGCTTCTAGGAATAAACAATCTAGAAGAGAAGAGAAAACTGTTAAGTGAATAACTTCATGTGTTATAATAGATGCATTTACAGTGGTAGATAAACATTCATAATATACCTATTAAATTTAATTTAGTATCTATTCTTTAAACTTTAAATATACACGCTTCTTTCCTTTTTAGGTCCTTTTCCATGTGATATATGTGGTCGCCAGTTTAATGACACTGGAAATTTGAAACGCCATATAGAATGTACCCACGGTGGAAAGAGAAAATGGACTTGCTTTATCTGTGGAAAATCAGTACGAGAAAGGTGAGGAATTATTTATACACCCAGAAAAATCCTGGTACCCGTTATATAGAAATAATTAATGAATATAGTTTATAAGATTAGGGTAATGCCAAATATACTTAAATTATACTTTAATTTGGAATTTAAGGACACAAGAAGAAATCAAATGCTATAGAAGTTGGTATGAAAGGATATGCAGGTTTAGATGGTAAATTTTTTCTTTTTTTAAAGATTTTATTAATTTATTTGACAGAGCGAGATCACAGGCAGAGAGGCAGGCAGAGACAGAGAGGGAAGCAGGTTCCCTGCTGAGCAGAGAGCTCGATGTAGGGCTCAATTCCAGGACCCTGAGATCATGACCTGAGTCAAAGGCAGAGGCTTAACCAACTGAGCCACCTAGGTGCCCCTAGGTGATAGATTTCACATAGATACCACTTTGTCTTTTTCTGAAACCCCACTAAAACTATGTTAAAGGTTATTGACTGGTAGACTCACTTAAAAGACAGTAAGCTATGAAGACAGGGAGAACAGTAGTGTGACAAGAGTAACACAGATTGGAAGCAAGAAAGCAGATTGATCAGTGGAAACTGACTTAGCAGATCTAAGAAAATAAATCCTAAGGTGGCAGTGGGGAAATCAAGAACATGGTTTACATCATAGAATCCACAAAAGGTATAGGAGTGGGCAATGTCAGGTACTTTTGGAACTAGGGCAAAGGAGAGGCAGAATAGGGAACACTAGAGTAAAAACTTCTTAGAAGTTAGATTATTTGGATTTTCTTCTGCTACCCATACAGGTCATTGCTGCTGGGCACCTACCCCTATCCCAACTTAAAAGATCTGGACTGAAGTATACAGTGTTGTTATATGATGAATGTATTCTGAATGCTGAAAGCAGCGAGTCCCAGGCCTTATCCCTGCTGAGATTTTGGATTTTAAGATGTTAGCCCCCAGGCAGTAGATTAGAGAGCAATTCCCTGAAAATCTGAAAAACCAAAGGGCAAATATATTCCCTAACAAATAGTATACTCAGGTCACCTACTGTGAAGCCTAGTCATCAAGGCCTACTCCTGCATGCTCTTTGATTGTGCCATCTGCATTTTAGTCTATCACACATAGTCACAGACAGATAGAAGAATTAAACACAGAAGGAAAACATTTAACATGGAAGCTAGGTTCTAACATAGGAAGAAGAAAAAAAAACCTTGAAGGAAACAGATTATTCAGAAAGAAGAAAACTTGCAAGAAAATAAGTAAACAACTGGGCGCTTCATGAGAAAAATATTCATATTATGAATAGCCTCAGTTGAAGATCTAGAATCTGTTTGACAAGAACAGGATGCTGTAACAGATCAGAGCTCTCAGAAATTCAAGGCATAATAGACAAAGTAAAGACCTTAATGGATTGAAGAACAAAGGATTAAAGAACAAAGTTGAGGGAATCTCCCAAAAGATAAAGAGCAAAAAGTTACACAAGTGTAAAATAAGGATTAGAACATTAGAGAACAGTCAAGAGGTCCAGAAAGAAAGAGCAAACAATGAAAACAGCAAGGGAAAAATCGTCACTGAATAATTCAAGATAATTTCCCAAAACTGAAGGACATGTGTTGCCAGACTAAAATTATCCATCAAATGCTTAGGACATCAGATGAAAATAAACCTACTCCCAGATACATCACTGTGATATTTCAGAACACTGGGGAAAGAGTGAAGCTTCTATATGCTTCTAATTGTTCCGGGAAAAAAGTTACATACACTGAGTTATGAATTAGAATTACTTGGACATCTCTCCGAACAGCAACACTAGAGATAAGATGATACAGTGGTACTTTGAAGATTTTTTTTTTAAGATTATATTTATTTATTTGGTAGAGAGAGATCACAGGTAGGCAGAGAGGCAGGCAGAGAGAGAGGGGGAAGCAGGCTCCCCGCTGAGCAGAGATTCAGATGAATGCGGGGCCTGATCCCAGGATCCTGGGATCGTGACCTGAGCCAAAGGCAGAGGCTTTAACCCACTGAGCCACCCAGGCGCCCCAACTTTGAAGATTCTTTTTTTTTTTTTAAGATTTTATTTATTTATTTGACAGAGAGATGACAAGTAGGCAGAGAGGCAGGCAGAGAAAGAGGGAGAAGCAGGCTCCCAGCTGAGCAGAGAGCCTAGTGTGGGGCTCGATCCCAGGACCTTGGGATCATGACGTGAGCTGAAGGCAGAGGCTTTAACCTGCTGAGCCACTCAGGCGCCCCGACTTTGAAGATTCTTTTTTTTTTTTTTTTAAGATTTTATTTATTTATTTGACAGAGATCACAAGTAGTCAGAGAGGCAGGGGGAGAGAGGGTGGGGGGTAGGAGCAGGCTCCCTGCTGAGCAGAGAGCCCGATGCAATGCGGGACTCGATCCCAGGACCCTGAGATCCTGACCTGAGCTGAAGGCAGAGGCTTTAACCCATGAGCCACCGAGGCACCCCCCCGAATTTGAAGATTCTTAAAGAAGCTTATTTCCAGCTAGAATTCTGTTATTAGTCAAACTGACAGTCAGGTCTGAGGATTATTAAGACATTTTTTGTAACATCAAAAAGTGGCCTTTGATGTATTCTTTCTCATGAAGCAGCTGAATTCTCATTCACCAGAATGAGAACATAAACCAATGAAGAGGAAGACAAGGGCTACAGGAGATAGAAATTCTAATCCTATAAAGAGGAAAAGGGAATTCATAGGAGGATGGTGCATGAAGTTTCCAAGTTGTCAGATGTGCAACATGTGTAACAATGGGTGTCAGTCCACACTAGTAGTAGTAATGCCATGGGACAGATTGAAGTTGTCATTGCTAAGATCCCTGCTGGCATGTTTCCTCTTTTAAATAGGGGACAAAATGCGAGAGTAGGTCTGATCCCAAAATTTATTTTTTATTTGCTGTGGTAAGAACATTTGACATGAGATCTACCCTCTTAACAAATATTTAAGTGTACAATACAGTATTGTTATTAAGTTATAATATAGTATTAAGTTACTAATACAGTATTATTATTGTGTTATGGCACAATGTTGTACAGCAGGCCTCTAGAATTTACCCATCTTGCACAACTGAAAATACCCAATGAATAGCAGTTCCCCATTTCCTTCTCCCTGATTCAAATTGTTATCTGTACTCTGCCACTGTATAGTACATGCATGCTAGTGAGGTTCCTACTATTGTATTTATTCCTTGCTACTTGATTTAACCATACTTGTTTCATTTCACAGAAATGTTCCTTTTCGATCTGTCTCTGAAAATTAGAGGTAGTTCATAGTAAGCTTAGAAGCAAAATATATACAGCAGCCTATTTACGTTGGCTGTACTTCTGTCAGACTTCTAGTACCTGATCCACTCTAGATTGTCAGATGCTCTAATTGTGATGTACCCTCTTTTCCAGTATTCATTTTTGACCTTACCTGCTGACATGTTGGAAAGGGCTCTTGCCAATGCTCAGGCAAGCTACAGCCAGACTTTGATACAGAGACACTGTTCATACTATTTTTGTAGGCTCTTTACCTAATAGTAGCAATATTGTTAGATTTGTGCTTACTATTGTTTTTCAAAAATACGTAGTATATGTATACCGCTAGGTAGTAAAACAAAGAAGAAAGGGAATGTTTAACATAAATGGTTATCCTGAGAAATCAAGGAGGAACATGTAGAGGCATTCTAAGGTATAACAATGTTCTAGGTCTCATCCTACATTGAAGTGTAATAATAGAATTCTTTTAAAAATATGTATACATTTTATAGCCTTCATTATATAAAAGTTCCATAATTTTAAAACATTAGAAGTGCCACGATCTTAAAATATCAAATTGATATGATGGTAAAATAGGAAAATCAGTATGCTATATTTACATGAAAACTTACAGATGGATATAGTTCATTTTATGCATTATACATTCTTTTTTCTTAAAAGTTTTTCTATAAAAACAAAAAGCAAACCCAAAACTAAAACTATCTTTTCACTTTTAATTACCTAATAGGTAGGGGTCTGGAATAGTTCTAGGGATAATTTCTACGAAGCAGAATATACCTGCGGATGCACCTGTCAAGTGTTGATGGGCCTTGTAGAAGAGCACCATCTACTGGCATAGATCTGCCTTCATTTCAGGTTCAGCCTTAATACTCACTAGATGTGGGATTAAAATAAATACAAGTAGTAGAAACAGTAAAAAGCCTGCCAAAGTCAGACACATTGCCTTTTACTGTCTTTCCTCCCAAAATAACTTTGCTGTCCTTACTCAGCACTTTACATATGTAGGAAATTTCTGAGTGTTAGAACTATAGGAAATGCTAGCTGTGTGTTTGGAGCAGCAATGGTTGTACAATACCCTGTTCAGAAGTAACAGAAGTAAAACCAATGCATCACCAAAGTAGTAATTAGAAAAGCTTATTGTGCATCTATAAAAAGAGAGTTTGCAAACCAGGAACACTCAAACCAAAACACAGAATGAGACTCAGGTATGTTGTTATATGAAGCTTATATAATGAGAAAGCAGTGACTGATTATTCTTTACAGTGGTTGGTTGTGACATTACGATTTTCTGAAGTGATAGGGAATTGGTTAATGGTTACCTCACATCAGCCTTGGGAAAGGGTTTAGGTTTTGCCTATGGTTTTCAGAGGCATAAACAAATGACCCAGCGCAAGTTATCCTTGCAAAATAAGCTACGTTAGGCTTTGTTTGTGGGACTTGTCTGCTCAGGGAATTTTCAAGGCTAATCTATGTTTGTTTGTTTTTTTTTATTAAAAGATTTTTTTTATTTATTTGACAGACAGATCACAAGTAGGCAGAGAGGCAGGCAGAGAGAGAGAGAGAGGCAGGCTCCCCACCGAGCAGAGAGCCCGATGTGAGGCTCGATCCCAGGACCCTGGGATCATGACCCGAGCCGAAGGCAGAGGCTTTAACCACTGAGCCACCCAGGCGCCCCAAGGCTAATCTATGTTTTTTATTTTAACAAGTCCATCCCAGGTTAGTAGGGCTGGAGGATTTAGGAATGACAGTAATTGTATTCTTTATATGGTTTTCCTTTTTCACATTGGCATCTGGAAGTTACAAGGACCTGTAAAGCTTTCTTTGCCCTAAAACATTCTTTTCACAGATTACTGAGCACATATTTGAAAGGAATGGTACTGATAAACTGGATTGTTTATATATTATTAAAAATTCTCTCTGTTAAAATTCACATCATCTTTACCTAATGCAGTAGTACAATTGAGCATTTTTTATTGTACTTTTTTTTTAATGATTTTATTCATTTATTTGACAGAGAGATCACAAGCAGGCAGAGAGGCAGGCAGAGAGAGAGGGGGAATCAGGCTCCCCGCAGAGCAGAGAGCCCGATACGGGGCTCGATGCCAGGACCCTGGGATCACGACCTGAGCCGAAGACAGAGGCTTAACCCACTGAGCCACCTAGGCACCCCTTTTGTTGTACTTCTTGATAGCTGCTTAAGCTGATGGCAAAGGAAGCCAAAGTTAATTTTGTGTATGTGTATGTGTTTTTAAAGGAGGGAGACAAAACAGGCATGATTGTGCACTGGTGAGACTAACCCAATAAAAAGCGAAAATACTGTAGGAGAAAGGGAAAATTATCATAAGATCTGTTAGCTTGAATACCTTTCTAGTAAGCTTTCTGAAAATCGTGCCCGAGAGAGAAAGAATGCAAGCAGGGGTAGGGGCAGAGAAAGAGGGAGAGAGAGAGAATCTTAAGGAAGCTCCACACTCAGCATGGAGCCAATGTAGGACTTGATCTCACAACCCTGAGATCATGACCTGAGCTGAAATCAGGAGTCCGATGCTTAACTGACTGAGCCACCCAGGCACCCCTGAAAACCTCCTTAATATAAATATTGACAATAGAAGTCTTTAGATAAATGTATATTTTTTTTAACACAGGACTACTTTGAAAGAACATTTGAGAATCCACAGTGGAGAAAAACCTCATCTTTGTAGTATCTGTGGGCAAAGTTTCCGTCACGGAAGTTCATACAGGTAAGTCAAGCCATTTTCCCCCTATATTAGGTAAGATAAATTATTTTAATTCCATTTTATCATTGCATTAGTTGTTTGTTGAATTAAAACATTTCTTAGCACTTACAATAAATAAAGTTATGCAAAAAAACTTTACTTACAGACCTTCCTCAACGTTACAACTTTTAATAGTCTTTATTCTATACTGCAAAATATTAAATTTTATTTCATCACCAAGTTTGCTAAATGCTTTACTGTCCAAGTAACTGTCATTTAAATGTTTATTGCATTACTTTTCTTTGAATCAAAGCTCATTAAAACTCTGATATTCTAACCTTAGTATATTTCATTACTCTTGATCATCTGAAAATATTTCGGTATGAAATATGGCAAAATTAAAAACTCTAGGACTCTAAATGTTGGAAAGTCTTCTGTGTATTAGTTGTAACCTGTCTAACTGTTTTTAATAGCTGAATACCTGACCACATTTCCAGTCTATGAAAAGTTGGCTTTTTCCTGAATAAATAATAAGTGACTACCTTCTGTGAAACATGTGTACATTTTACATGTTTACTAATGCTCTTGGGGCTTTTAATCTTAAGGCTTTAATGTTTGCACTTTCACTTATTATTTACCTCTTTTACCTCTTTTTAAAAAAATTTTAAACTGAATGTCACCTTTTTAGATGTAGTTCAGTCATTCACTGGCTTTTGTTGTGGAATCAATATCTGTTTTGGCAACTTGAATGAGAAAGCTATTCATTTCACTGGGATATATATAGGTGGAGGATTATGGTGCTAAAAATAACTCAAGTTAATTGAATTTTAATAATTTAAACCTTTTATAATCTGTCTTTGGGTGACTATAAAATGAACTACACATTGGTTAGTGTGAAAAAAGTAACAAAATGTAATTGTCAGAAAGTTGATTACTTATAAAATTTACTAAATTCTCATGTGTTGATTTGTAAGTGGTATCAGTTGTACGGAGAAGGGTTAATTCTTAATTATTTGCTATATCATTAGTGTAAGTCACTTACCCCATTTGTCTGATTCTGTTTCCTCCCGGCTCATTCCTACTTTTGCAATCTCTGAAACTCCACCAGTCAGATAGTGACCCTAGACATTTAGTATGTTCAGTGAAGTAGATTTAGGATCTAGGTCAGGAAGGAAGGTCTTGGAGACATAGTGTATGTGCAAATGTTGAGGTGTTTCTTTTTTTGAAAGAGATGAGTAGGAACCCCAGAGTTAGGTAGTAAGAGAGTGGGGAAAGATGAAAGTCATAGAAGTGGAGCAAATAATGTATGAAGGTGGGTGAGTAAACAACCCAGTTTCCCTTACTTAGAGTTAATCAAGATTTTTCCTTTGGTGTCACCAGTTTTTATGGTCTTCAACTTTTTTTCTTTATAGACTTCACTTACGAGTACATCACGATGATAAAAGATACGAATGTGATGAATGTGGGAAAACATTTATTCGTCATGACCATCTTACAAAGCACAAAAAAATACATTCAGGTACTTTGTAATGATGTTTACAAAATCCTTGAAAAAGCACCTACTAGAGGACATACTACATCATGTTTATGTTGGCTATAATTTTAATAATTTGGCATTGATAATGCTGATTCTGAAAACTTTTTTTTAAATATCTGAAAGGAACATAATTTTGTGACACGTTTTTGTTCACTGTAATTTTAATCATTTGGTTACTTGTTATGACTACAGACTATATTTTGATGTTTATTTTAATCAAATTCTCAAAATTTGCATTTTACATATTATGTGGATATCTGCAATAATTGGTTAGCAAAACATATTTGAAGAGAAATGATTATAATTGGGTTTTAAAGTTTATGTAATAGGAATTTTTAAAACCCTGTTTTTGAAGAAGAGTACCTTAATAATCCTGATCAGTTTCAGATCTTTATACCATATTTACAATTTTTATATTCTGGGCTTTCTTTCAATATTTTCCTCTTGGATTGATGTTCAGGAAGTGCTTAGAGAGTCAACTATATGAGCACAATAATGGGAAGGAGCCATCTATGAGCACAGTAGAACAGGTGATTATTACTATTATAAACATAATCTAAATATAAAATATGCAAATTATTTTTATTTATTATTATTTATTATTTTAATTGTTTTCTTAAATGATCTCAGTGAGGTTGCAGGGTGCAGTTGTTATCAATACTTTTAAGAGATGCTAACAGTCTGGTGACATTTTCACTGAAATTACACATTTTCATTCTCAGGAGGAGAATTCTAAATTCCTAATTCTAGAGATCACATACTTTAATTGCATACTGGATTAAGTTGAGACAGTGGTTTTTAAAGGCAAGCCTTTGTAACTGAATATAAGAATAGAGATGAGAAATGGGACTCATCTAGAATTTTACATCGTATTTGTATTTTGGCTCATTACAAATAAATGTGTGACATCCCCACAGATGAAAAATACTTTAAAAATAAAGTACAAAGAGGGGTGCCAGAGTGGCTCAGTTGGTTAAGTGTCTACGTTCAGCTTAGGTCGTGATCCCAGGGTACTGGGATCGAGCCCCTCGTCAGTCTCCCTGTTCAATGGGAAGTCTGCTTCTCTCTCTCCTCCTACTCCTCCATCCTGCTTGTGCTCTCTTGCTCACTGTCTCTCTCAAATAAATAAATGAAATCCTTAAAAATACAGCAAAGATCTGAAAATGTTCAGGTCCTTTTTATCAACAGTAAAACAGCCTCTTCTTGATTCACTATATTTTCATTTGAAGTGTTTGACATCTAGACCTACTCTACTCCCAGAAAGTTACTGAGGTTTGAAGTAATTTCATTTATTTTGCTGTGTTATGTTGAAAGGTAAGATTTGAAATCTACAGCAAAAATCCAAGTGGTTTCTTTTCCAAGTGAGGGAAAAGGGCTCACATCCATGAAAATAACCATAGATTCACTGAAGAAAGATACTTGATTAAGGAATATAAAGCAAATAGCCCAGAATAAAGGGTGGCTTTACTTTTCTGGTATATTTCCCACTATGTTATCTTACTGTTTGATAATATCTCTGGAGGTAAAAGTGAAGTGCATATTATAATCAAAATATTTGGGTCTTTAAGGTGAGAAGGCTCATCAGTGTGAAGAATGTGGAAAATGTTTTGGTCGTAGGGATCATCTCACTGTTCATTACAAAAGTGTACACCTGGGAGAGAAGGTGTGGCAAAAGTAAGTGAAAAAGCAGTTTGATTACTACATTGGATAAGTGTAAGTTAGAGGAAAGTTATAACTTGCCTCATAGTTTATTTTGTTTAGCTGGGGATAAGTTAACTAGCTCTGTTTTTCTGGCTTCTATTCCTTCTCTGCTGACCTAAAGAAACTGAATGAAACATTTTTGTTTTACTTGTTTTCATTTGACTTAAGGCTAAAGGTGGTAGACGTTGAAGTTAATGATTAATATAAAATCTTGAAATTCTTTGGGCATTTCATTTATCTTTGGTTGCTGTGGCTCTTACCTAAAAATATAAGTGTGCTGTCTATATATTATACTTAATAAAAGCAATTATTGGGACACTTTCTAGTCAGAATTTAATTTCTTTTTAAGCACACTGAGCATTTAAAATGAAGGAGGCATGTGCTGTCCTAAACACCAACTTTTTTTGTAATTCCAATATACTTAACATACAATATTATATTAGTTTCAGATATACGATCTAGTGATTCAGCAATTCTATACATTATTCAGTGATCATCATGATAAATGTACTTCTAAGTCCTCAGCCTGTTTCATTTATTCCCTCTGCCCATCTCTCTCTGATAACTATCAGTTTATTCTCTAAAAGTCTGTTTTTTTGGTCTCTCTTTTTATTTTGAACACCAATTTTTAATAAAGTTTAGTTGAAGTTTAACTGAGATGAGTTGTTGAGTGTACAATGTACAGAGAATCCATGTTCTTGGACTAGATGTTGGAACAAACGCTAAGTAATAGACATGGTCCAGGGTGCCAAGAAGCTTAGGTTAATATACTGAGCATGATCAACGAAATATACATAATATCTTTAAATGTAGTGTGTGATAGACCATTTTGAAGAAGAGTAGGAAAGTGCTGATTTGTATCTGTTTTTTATATTTCTAGATGCTGGTTTATATTTTCTTTCACTGATTTTATTCAGTGATTCACTCATTGAATCAGCGTATTCATGGTAGTCTTGAATTCTTGTATTCATGAGATACTAGGAATCCTGCTAAGTGCTAGGATAGAAAGATACATATGATGCTGTATCGAAAAGGAAGTAAGGGGGCCCCTGGGTGGCTCAGTCAGTTAAGCATCCAACTCTTGATTTTGGCTCAGGTCGTGATCTCGGGGTCACGGGATCAAGCCCAACGTCAGGTCCCCTGCTCAGTGCAGTCTGCTTGTTCCTCTTCCTCTGTTTCTGCTGTGGATCGGGTGCACGCTCTCAAATAAATAAATAAATAAATAAAATCTTTTTTTTTTTTTTTTAAAGGAAATGAGAAATTCTACATATTGTATGAATGGGTGGAAAGTAGACTGAACTGCAGACTCACTTGCTCCTGAGATTCTGTAACTTTCTCAACCCCTTTATACTTTTAAAAATTGTTCAGTATCTCAGGAGCTCTTATTATGTAAATTACAATATAAAAATTACATTATTTAAGTTATGTAAATGTATTAGAAATTCAGTTGAGAAGAAATTAAGTACTTATTTATTAATTCACTTAAAAATAGTAATATGCCCATATGTAAATCTGTCTGATGGCTTAATAGAAGACAGTTGGATTACCATATTTACTGCCATGCATTATTTTATTTGAAGTAAATGAAGAAAATCCAGCCTCTCTCTATACATAGTTGGTAAAAGGTAGAGTATTATGATAGCAGTCTTAGATAATTGTGGCTAATAGTCTTTGCTACTACACCAAAACTGTTTAAGTGCTGGTTTCTTCAAGGTAGTTGCAAGGTGCAATCTGAAATAAGATTAATGATATTGCATACTCTGTTACAGTCTCTTGGTCTTTTACTTGAATGAATTTTTTAACCTATGCATAAGTTGTAATATGCATTTGTCATTTGGAAAATATGTGTTCAGTAAGTTATGCCAGTTGTCTAAATGTTAGTACATTTCCCAGTAGCAGATCAACAAATCACGTTTGTTAATGTCGCCTCCAGTCTCTCAGAAAGGTGTATTGGGAAGCTGTCAATGTGACAAGGGCAGCCACAAGTTCTCCAAAATCTTTATACTAGCTCAAAAGCTCAAACTTTATCATTGATGACAGGTTTACTTCTTTTAATTTCAAGAAAGTGTCTGCCAAATACTCAAGTCTGTAACCATGGCTTGTCTTTTATTCTTTCAAGCAAAATTGTATTTCATAAAGAAAGTGGTTCCTTCAGCTCATCCCTCAGACGCATGTACTTCAGTGTGTAGAAGGGCTTCTTGTGTCCTTGCACCTTCATGACTGAGAACAGTACAAAGGCCACAGTCTGAAAGGTTGAAACTTAGTAAAATTAGTAATTTATCTCCTTTACCACATTTTTCTTTTCTTTTTGTGAGTGCCTGACAGTGAGGAGCACAATGATCATTAGTACATTTTGGTTCCACTGCCTTGTTTAGAGCTCAGATGCCAGCACCTTTACCTGCCATGTTTTTTTGTATATGTCATTAGTGTAAATGCCAACACAATGAGAAAGGCAAATAATGTTACAGTATTATTTTGAAAATAACTTTGATCTTGGAAACCTTATGAAAGAATTTTGGAATTCCCTCACTGCTACAGGAGCCTGTGGGTCTATCTCCTGGCCCACATAATTTTGGAACCAGAACCTGTAGGTTCCACTTCCTACAAGGGCTGGCTAATGGTGGATCTAAAATGTGAAGCCTTGCATATCATTTTATGGAACCAATACTTATTCCTGTGTGATACAAAGCCATTGAAGATTTTAAACAAGAGGGTGACACAGTTGGATTTCTTTTGGGGTAGATCACTCTTATTGGTGTAGGGAGGCTGGGTTTGTGGTAGATAAATTGAGGGAAATAAATCAACCAGTTAGAAAGTTCTTAGAATTTTGGAAAAAGGTAGTGGGCGCCTAGGGAGTAGCATTAGTAATAAAGAGTAGAAGGTGCTTATTTGAAAAATACTTAATTTTTTGAGAGAATGGGAGTAGTCATGGATAATTCCTGTTCTCAAGGAATTCCTCTTTTCAAATGGATGGTTGATAAATGAGCCACTGAGACAGAGAATACAGGAGATGGACCAAGTTTACAGAGGGAAATGATGAATTGTTTGGTGTGTATTGACTTTGAGATGCTTAATAGAAACTCAAACATAAAATGTGATAGGTAAATCTAAGTCTGAATCTCAGGAGTGAAGTCTGACCTGTGGATAAAGATTTATACATGAATATGTAAAAGCCCATTATCCAGGAAAAGAATGTGGAGTGATGAAGGTTAGCACCCCTCCTACTACCCTTTATTTTCTACGTTTCTTCTTCCCTTTTAAACATTTAAAAATGGTGTCTCTATTTCAGTATCCATATCTACTTCTCCACTTTCCATTCAGTGTAACAAGCTGTTGTGATGTGATCTCTGACTTTACTATACCTCTTAAATTGCTGTCAGCATAAGTTCCTTATTTCTAACTCAATAGACATTTTTAAAAAATAATTTTATTTACTTGAGAAAGAGAGAGAGAGCACAGGTTAGGGGAGGGCACAGGGAGAGGGAGAAGCAGGCTCCCCTTGAGCAGGGAGCCCAATGCAGGGTTCAATCCCAGGACCCAGAGATCATGACTTGAGCCGAAGGCAGACACTTCACCAACTGAGCCACCCATTTTTAAGTCCTTTTCACAATGGGCATCTCAACTTCATTTGGAACTTTTTATCACTCTATCCTGAAAATGTATACTCTAGCATCCATATGAGAAAGAAGAGTCCCAGGTACATGTATAGGGCCTGACCCATTGAGGTCTTTGTAGATTTTATCTTTATCCTGTGTTCACTGTGAGGCACTTAAAGTGTTTTGAGCTTATGTTTAATGTTTAAAACGTCACTCTGTTCATAGTATAGACCAAGATTTCTTAGTCACAGCAAAGACATTTTGGGCCAGCTAATTCTTTGTTGGGGAGCTGGCCAGTGCACTTTAGGTTTATTTATTGGTATTCCTGACTTCTGTCCACCAGATGGCAGTAGCACCTACCTAGCCCCAGTTGTGAAAACCAAAAATGTCTTCAGGCATTGCTAAATGTCCTATGCAGGGCAAAAAAGACCCCTGTGTCTTTCTATGTGTGCCCCTGTTTGCATCTCTATTTGTACTTACTGTGGATATGAACAGAATAAGACAAAACAAGTATACTAGTTACAAGTCTTCTGCTAAGTTCATCATGACACTCCCAAGTCCCTAAATCTAGATTATCTTTTTAAATGTTTCATCAAGTAGAAGTAAGTTTCTGAAAGACAGGACCTTGCATGGAGTTTTTGTAGCCGCTTTGTAAATGTTGAGTTGAATGGCTTGAAAAGTACGAGTGGCATTTGAAACCTTAGGCATACTATTGCTGTTGAATATTGGTAATGATATGCTAAACATTCCAGTAAGACTCAGTAGATAGGTTAAAAGCAAACTGTCTTACAGAACATTATAGTAACCTGTGTTTGAGTTAGTTTGGCATGTGCTCATCAGATATGAATTACTTCCAAGGTGAGATGATAGGTTTCCTAATAACCACCACTTAAATGCTAATCATTTTACAATGTCTTAATCCTCACAATGAAATTGGAGTCTAGGATTGTTAAAATCACAAACACATATTCTTAGGTACTGCACTTTACTGCCTGATAAGGTAGATTTGAGTACCTTGTAGCTTCTTATGTCTATTAATCTGTGATAAAAATAAAGGTCTGGTATTGTGTTCTTTTAAAATTTAAGTATAAAATTTAATTTCAAGTTTGTAATATTTATTATTTGTGTTATTAAGAGAACCAATTGGAGCAGCGTCACCTTTTTGATGGAGGCACATTTTGAGTTGCTGCAGTTTCTCTTCATTCAGCCCCAGCATCTATTTTTTAAATTTAACTAAGGTATACTCTACATACAGAGAAATTCCTTGTTTGTAGTGTATAGTTCTGCAGGTTTTGACAGATGCATGTAGTCATAGAACCATTACCACAGTCAAGATACAGAATAGTCCATCACCCCTAAATTTCCACCAGACCTCTTTGTTCAACTCCTTTTTTCTTCCTTGAACCCATAATTGGTTTGTTTCTGTCCCTATAATTTTTCCTTTGATATTTTTAATAACAAATAATAACAACACAGGAGTCCAGTGATTTAAATCTTAAAATTAAGTGGTTTAAAGTCTAAGGCATCTTTTTATAGATTTGCTTATTGAATGTAACTGGAGGAGGAAGAGCCAGAGGTAAGTTTGGTACTTTAAAATATTTCTACATTCCTTTGGAGTTCTGTGCTGTATTAATGTGAGAATTATATGTAAACTTTTTAAGTGTTATAACCTATTTTCATTATAAAAGTTATATTGAAAACTCAACCCTTTTTATGTTTCTTAGATACAAAGCAACCTTTCATCAATGCGATGTTTGTAAGAAAATTTTTAAAGGCAAATCAAGTCTGGAAATGCATTTTCGGACGCATTCAGGTAAAAGTTAATGGGTATTTTATTTATATCTTTGTGTAATTATTCAGGAGTAAAATATGGACTTTTAAACTTTGTTGTTTTTTGTTTAATTTTTTGTCTTTTCCCCATATGATTTTTACTTACTTTATTAAAATTGAGGCCATGGATGAGTAATATTCTGCCCTTCAGTTCTCTATAAGCTCCAATATTTTTGAATATTATTTTGTAAAATTCGGGCAAATTTTTCTCCATGGGGAATTTACTCACCTTTTAGCTCTAATACTCTCCCTTTTCTGGATGTTTATGTTGGTGCTATATCTGTGTAACTCTTTGAAGACATTCCTTTTTTTTCCTCTTTTGAAAGAATAAATCAGATAGGATTTGATTCTTACCAGGTTACTCTTTTTTTTTAAATTATTTTTATTAACATATAATGTATTATTTGCCTCTGGTGTACAGGTCTGTAAATCATCAGGCTTACACATTTCACAGCACTCACCATAGCACATACCCTCCCCAATGTCCATAACCCAACCACCCTCTCCACCTCCCCTCCCCCCAGCAGTCCTCAGTCTGTTTTGTGAGATTAGGAGTCTCTTATGGTTTGTCTCCCTCCTGATCCCATCTTGTTTCATTTTTCCCTTCCTTACCCACCAAGCCCCAACTCTCCCTCTCAATTCCTCATTATCAGTGAGATCATATGATAATCATCTTTCTCTGATCAACTTATTTCGCTCAGCATAATACCCTCTAGTTCCATCCACGTCGTTGCAAGTGGCAAGATTTCATTTCTTTTGATGGCTGCATAGTATTCCATTGTATATATATACAACATCTTCTTTATCCATTCATCTGGTGATGGACATATAGGTTCTTCCCATAGTTTGGCTGCTGTGGACATTGCTGCTGTAAATATTCGGGTGTATGTGCCCCTTCAAATCACTACATTTGTATCTTTAGGGTAAATACCCAGTAGTTTGATTGCTAGGTCATAGGGTAGCTCTATTTTCAACTTTTTGAGGAGCCTCCATGCTGTTTTCCAGAGTGGCTGTACCAGCTTGCATTCCCACCAACAGTGTAGGAGGGTTCCCCTTTCTTCACATTCTCTCCAACATCTTTCGTTTCCTAACTTGTTAATTTTAGCCATTCTGACTAGAGTGAGGTGGTATCAGTGTGGTTTTGATTTTTATTTCCCTTACCAGGTTACTCTTGTATACTTTCCTTTTCACATAGTGAGTTGTGATTTGTAGGTAGTTTATAATAGAATGATTTGTTTCAGCTGCTTTCCAGAAGATACCATTTTCTAAACCCTTCTTTGTTCCCCCTTGGTAATGCTACCATATTTTGAAATACACACTGTGTTGGATTCTTTCTTAGATGTTGTCATAGTCCTTATTTGACTTCCCATAGAAATTAAGAATTCTTTTTTTTCTCTTCATTTTTTTTTTATTAATTTCTTTTCAGCATAACAGAATTCATTGTTTATGCACCACACCCAGCACTCCATGCCATATGTGCCCTCCATAATACTCACTACCTGGCTCCCCACTCCTCTAACCCCCCGCCCCTTCAAAACCCTCAGATTGTTTTTCAGAAAATATAGTCTCTCACGGTTCATCTCCCCTTCCAATTTCCCTCAACTCCCTTCTTAAACCTAACCTTTCTTTCTTTAAAAAAAAATTATTTGTGCATTTATGGCTGTTTTGTTTTATATTTACTTGGACTTTCTCAAGCCACTGTTCTAGAAGAGAAAAATAATTGATTTCATAAATATCAGAATGGAAAAAAACTGGATTTGGGCAATTTCATTTATTACTTGTACAGTGCTGCTATTAAAAATAAAATACATCCCCACCAAGGAAAAAGTCATAATTTGGGGGTACATAAATAGGAATATAAAATGAAACCATATTAATGCTATCTTCCATATTATTTATGAATAATAAGCTTAATAAACTTATGGTTTGAAAGAGATGAACTTACAGGAAGTTAATTCAAGACCATTAATGATTTAAGAATTGTAAAGCTGCAGGAATTATTTAAGAGGAGAAACTTAATAAGAGCTGGCTTCATGATTATGTTAAGTTTTTGAAAACATTGACTTATAGCAATTAGTCAGTGACCAGTGACAATGTGGAATTTCCATCTCTGAATGTCTCAATTGGAATTAGGGACAAGTCACTCTGCCCATTGAAAACTGCAGAAATGAACTCAGTTACGGAATAAGATAAAGTTTATGGCAGTTAAGAAACGAGAGGGAGAAATCACCTAAAGCAGAGGTCAGTGAACTTTTTTGGTAAAGAGCTAGATAATAAATGTTTAAGACTGTGGGGCACCTGGGTGGCTCAGTGGGTTAAAGCCTTTGCCTTCGGCTTGGGTCATGATCTCAGGGTCCTGGGATGAGCCCCGCATTGGGCTCTCTGCTCAGCAGGGAGCCTGCTTCCCCCCCCCGCCCCGCCCCCATACTCTCTGCCTGCTTTTCTGCCTACTTGTGATCTCTGTCTGTCAAATAAAATCTTTAAAAAAAAATTTTTTTTTAATTTAAAAAATGTTTAAGACTTTGTGGCCCAGACAGTCTCTATCACTCAACTGTGCTTCTGTAGCATGAAAGCAACTGTGGATAATGTGTAATCAAATAAACATGGCTGTATTCAAATAAAACTTCATTTAGAGAAACAGGCAAGAGGCTGTATTCGGCTTTCGGGCTATAGTTTGCCAACTCCTAATCTTATTTTAATCATCAGGCTACCCAGACAGTGTGGCCCTTCCAAAAACTGGTTGCCATATTCCCAAGTCCATTCCTGAGATTTAACTCACTTTTATATCTGTACACTGAGAGTTATAAATACTCTTAGGAGTCTTCATAATAACCACTGGAAATAGATTCACGAGAATGTCAGCTTATTATTCACTTTCTAGAGAATGAATAGTGTACTAGCCAAGGTATCCTTTTTCTCGAATCAAGGAAGCAGAGTTGCTAAATTTATTAACTAGAAAAATTGCTAAATATAGTTATAGAGTAAAATTAAGTCGTAATTTTATGGAATAGTTTATCAAGGAAATGGTGAAGGATACTGAATCATCTTTAGTTTTGTAAAGCTAAACTTAGTACCTCTCTTGAGACCAGAATAATTTTGCTCCCCAGATTCCTTTTGCCTAGCCAGGATACCCTTAGTGCATTATCTGTACTGCTTTTTTCAAGAAACAGATTCAGATTTTTTTGGAATCCCCTTAACTAGATTCCATATAGACCTTTTCTTTTCTGTTAATGTATTCTTTCTCTAGGTGAGCTGTAACTAATGGGTTGGTTTCAGTTTTGGCCAGGTCAGTGTACTTAATAGTTCAGATGAGTAGATATGATCAGTGCCTAACCCAGCACTTGCAGATAGTAGGTGCTTAATAGTATTTGTTGAATGAATGAATTTATCATCATATTTACCTATGACTAACCTCTAATCTGATGTTTTCAAACCGCACAATTAGGGAAATAAGTTGGAATACAGATGACTTACTCTCATCTGTTACGTATTTTGCTTGTTGTAGTTCTCAGAATAGTGATTAGACCTATTCTCAGCAGTAGTCTTGTTGAAATGTAGTGCATTTATTTAAAACAGGCATTAAAGCTGATAAATTTAGGGCCTGACTTTAGACTTGGTAGAATTTTTTAAGCTGTACGTAAAGTACCCAAATCTTAATGAACAGTTCAATGAATTTTTATAAATGAATACATCTACGTAAATACCACTTAGATTAATATAAAGTATTAATATATTACTAGTACCAGAATTGCAGAAGGCATCCTCTCTGGTCCCTCCCAGTTAATAACCTCCTTGCAAGATAGTCATTATTATGACTTCTATCACCACTAATTAGTTTTGCCTGTTTGAACTTCATATAAACGGAATCATACAGTATGTACTTTTTTTTTTTTTGTCTGGTTTACTTCACTCAGTAGGATGTCTGCGATATTCATCCATGGAAATGGTTTATTTCTTTTAATTTTCATAATATACCACAGTTTATTTATCTATTGTACTTTGATGGACACTTGGTTTGTAATTACCTGGATGTATTATGAATAAAGCTGCTCTGAAAATTCTTGTTCATGATTTTTCATTATGCATACACATTTATTTCTTTTGTGTATATGCCTGGCCAGGATTGTTGGCTAATAAGATATGCATATATGTTCTACTTTAGTAGACGTGACTGAACAGTTTTCTAAGGTAATTATGCCAGTTTGTGTTTTTACCAGTGAGTATATGGTTTATGAGAATTCCAGTTGCTCCCTATTTTCACCAACACTTGATATTGCCTTTTTTCTACGCTATTCTGATGGATATGTAGCACTGTCTCAAAGTGGCTTTAATTTGCATCTCTGTGAAAGTAATGATACTGAGCACCTTCCCATATACTCATTTGAATATCCTCTTTCTTGGAATACCTTATTCATTCTTCTGTTGATTTTCTTAAACTGGATTGTTTGTCTTTTTCTAATTGATCTCTAGGAGTTATGTCTGTATTCTGGATGAGTCCATTGTTGGATATCTAAATTGCAGATTCATTCTACTCTGTGGCTTCCCTCTTCACTCTAGTAATGGTATCTTTCAGTGAATGAAGTTTTAGAATTTTATAGAAATCATGTATCAGGGTTTTTTTGCTAGTTAGTTTTTTACTGTATCCTCTTTAAGAAATTTTTGCCTATTCCAAGGTTGTTAATATATTTTTCTGTTACCTTCTAGAAGATCTGTTTTAACTTACATATTTAGATTATGAACCTTCTGTAATTTACTTTTGTGTTCATTATTAGGTAAAGATCAAATTTCCTTTTTACTTCTTTCTTTTTGCATGTAGCTCTCTAGTTACCCTAGTACCATTTATCAGAAAGACCATCCTTTCCTTACAGCATTTCATTGGCATATTTGTTTTAAATTAAGTGATAATATATGTGTGGTTTCTTTTTGGGCTTTGCTCAGTTCTTTTGTATTATTTGTATATCCTTGCACCATTGCTATATATGTAAATTACTATGACTTGATATCTGGTACTATAAATTGTCCAACTTTTTTTTTTGGTGTCTTTATTATTCTTGTTCCTTTATGTTTTTAGACAAATTTTGAAATATCTTATTAATTTCCAAACACAAACACCTGCTGGAATTTTATTAGAATGTCCTTGAATATTATAATATTACATTATAATTATACTATAATATAGGTCATATAATATGTAATAATTATATAACAATTATATATAATCATATAAATAAATGTATATATTTTATAATATATTGTTATATATTATATAGTATATTTAATATATGCTGATTATATAACATATCAATATTATATTCAATTTTCAATTATATAGTCAATTTTTCCTTAATTGATTATCTTTATAATATTGAATCATCCAATCCATGAACAGTCTGTACATTAACTTAAGTTCTTTTAAATGTTTTTCAAAGATGTTACGGTTTTGGGGAGTACCTGGTTCATTTGGTGGAGCATGTCTTGGTCTCAGAGTCATAAGTTCAAGTTTGCCCTTGGACATGGAGCCTACTTAAAAAAGAAGTTACAACTTTTTAGTGCAGATATCTCGCACATTTTCATTAGATTGATGCCTAGATATTTGATGTTTTTATACAAAATTGAAAACTGTGTTTTTATTTGTATTTGTTTCTGATGTATAAAAATGCAGTTGAGTTTGTATATTGACTTTCTATCCAATGACTTTCTATAAGTTATTTTTATAGTTTAGCTCTTTTTTGGATTTTTTTAGGCATATAAACTGGCCATCTGTGAATAGTGACAATTTAATTTATCCCTTTCTAAATCCTTTTCTCTCCCTCTTGGCCTTATTACTTTGGTTGACATCACTAGTGGTATATGATTAGAAATACTGAGTAGTGGACATCCTTGTCTTATTCTGAATCTCCAGGGAAAAGCTTTCAGTATTTCATAATTAAGTAAGATGTGTTCTGGGGCTCTTGGGTGGCTCAGTCAGTTAAGCTCCTGCCTTTGGCTCAGGTCATAATCCTGGGTCCTGGGATTGAGCCCTTCCATCGGGCTCTCTGCTCAGCGGGGAGTCTGCTTATCCCTCTGCCCTTCTCCCCTGCTCATGCTCTCTTTCTTCTCTCAAATAAATAAAATCTTAAAAAAGTATGATGTTTTCTATATACTGTTTATCAGATAAATTACCATCCATTCCTCATTTATTTAGAGTGTTATGAATAGGTGTTGAATTTTATCAGATTTTTTTCCTGCATTTATTGAGGTGATCATATCTTTTTCCCTTATTAATAAGATAAATGACATTGATTTTTTAATGTGAGATCTTGCATTCCTGATTGGTCTTTTTTTTTGGCCTATGTTGATTAGACATTCTCCTTTTTTTCCCCTCTTGTAATGTCCCTGACAGGTTTTGTTACTATGACTCTGCTGGCCTCAAAAATTATTTGGGAAATAATACATCTTTTTAAAAGAAATGGAGGAGTTTATGCAAAGTTGGCATTATTTCCTTATTAATATTTGGAGGAATTCACTGATAAATCCCTCTGAACTTATTTTCTTTAGAGAAAGACTTCAGTGAAATATTATTTAATATAGAGCTGTCAGATTTTTTATTTTTAAAGGACTCCATGAAATCTGTTCAGAATTAAAGTTACCATATTATGTATCTTTTCAGTGACTGTAGGAATTTGTTGATTTTTCCCTTCTTTATGCATTTTTTTTATTTCATTTCTGCTTTTTCTTCTTTTAATTTTGTTTGGGTTTAATTTTTGCTTTTCCCTAGCTTTTTATATCCATGCCTAACTTACTGAATTTAAGCATTTCTTTTTATTTTTTCTTGTATGTATTTTAAAGTTATAAGTTGCCCTCTAAACACTGCTTTAGTGAGATTCCACCCTTTGTTTTATGGTTCCTGTTTTCATCATAGTTCAGTTACAATATTTTCTCTTTTTTTTTTTAAGATTTTATTTATTTATTTGACAGAGAGATCACAAGTAGACAGAGAGGCAGGCGGAGAGAGAGGAGGGAGCAGGCTCCCTGCTGAGCAGAGAGCCTGACGCGGGACTCGATCCCAGGGCCCTGAGATCATGACCCCAGCCGAAGGCAGCGGCTTAACCCACTGAGCCACCCAGGCGCCCAGTTACAATATTTTCTAATGTCTATTCTGATTTATTCTCTTATTAACGGTTTATTTTTAATTGTAATGCTTAATTCCTAAATATTTGGAGCATTTTCTAAGTATTTTTATGTTACTGATATCAGTGGTATATTTTTTTCTGTCTTTACTTTCAGTTCTTCTGTGGGCCTCTATTTAAGATGTGTGTCTTTGGAGCATCGTTTTATTATCCATTATAATCTCTCTTAATTGGGATGTGTTTAGTCATTAAAATTTTACATGATATTTATTTGGGTTTAAATCTGTCTTCATGCTATTGGTCCCATGTGTTCCTTGATGCTTTCTCTCTCTTGTCCTCACTTCTCTATAATCATGAAAAATTTTTATTACACATTTTCCCTTCAGTTAGCTTGTCAGTTGAATGTTCTTGCATTGTTCTTTAGTACTCACCCTAAAGATTGCTATCTTGTTAGATAGCACCCTAAAGAGTCTATCTTGTTAGTTCTTTACCAGTTCGTAGACAATGCAAAGACCTTATAATACCTTTATCCTGACCTTTTATGCAGAATGTATTTTAATTCTACATATACTTTAAAACACAAAGACATTATTTTTTGGTTTGTTTTAAATAACCCATATTATTTATTTTTAACCATGTATTTGCCCTTTACTGTTTATTATTTCCTGCATTTGCATTCTTCCACCTGGGATTTTTTCCTTTTGCATGAAGAACTCCTTTGGTGAATATCTGCAGGATAGGCACCAAATTCTCTTAGGTTTTGATTAGCTGAAAATATTGTTTTTGGTTTTTTTTTTTAATGGAGAATATTTTTCCTGACTATAGAATTTACATTAGAAATTAATTTTCTTTCAACATTGTAAATATGTCATTTTTTTCCTCATTGAACTTATGTTGTTTTTGTTGAAAAGTATACTGTTGTTATTGTTGCTCATTTAAAGGAAATGTCTCTTTTTAATCGGTTGCTCTTTAAGATTTTTCTAGCTTTGATTTTTAGTAGTTTTATTATAGTGTGCTCAGATGTACTTTTTGGCTTTAGGGTTTTTTTTTTTTTAATTTTGTGAGGTTTGTAGAACTTACTGCATCTGTGACTTGAGATGTCTTTCTATTGTTTAGTAAGATTCTCAGCCATTTTTTCTTTCAAATACTGCCTTTCCTCTGTACTCTCTCCTTTTTCTGGGATTCTAATTTATGTATGTTAGATCTTTTACTTTGTCTTTTATAGCTATCTCTCATGCTCTTTCTGGTTTTTTTGTTTTGTTTACAGAGAGAGAAAGAACGTATGTGCTGGTTGGGAGGGGCAGAGGGAGATGGAAAGAGAGAATCTCAGGCAGGCTCCACGCCCAGCCCTGAGCCCAGCACAGGGCTTGATCTCATAACCCTGAGATCATGACTGGAGTTGAAATCAAGAATAAAATGCTTAACCAACTAAGTCACCCAGGCATATTTCTATATTTTCTATCCTATTTTTCTGTGTGGTTCCATATGGATAATTCCTATTGATCCATTTTTCAATATACTGATTATCCTTCTGTAGTGTCTAATTTGCTACCGCATCCATCTACTGAATTGCTCAGTTTTTTTTTTTACCTGTTCCAGAATTTCCTTTTTTCCCATAGATTCCAATTCTTGAACATGTTACTCATATTCATTTTAATATTCTAGTCTTAATGTAGTTTTTCTTCACCTTTAGGTATATCTGTTATCTTTTTTTTCCCTCCCTCTTTTGGCATTTGGTCATTTGATTCTGTTCTTGATAGGCCTGACAGCTTTGAATTGAACTTTAGATTTTGTGAATGAAAAATTATAGAAGTTCTTGAAGTTGTATTTTTTCCCAGATATATTTAATTTTCTCACAAGCAGATAGACTGAGATGGCATTGATCTCTTCTGGTCTGTTTCTACTCTACTTTTCTTCTAGTTCATCATCATTCTGGGGTCTCACCTGAAGTATGATGTTTATACCAAGAGTCTCCCCACTTTGATGAGACTTAAACTCTCATCTTTGTCTCCCTAGTACCCTTGGGATTGCTGCAGTATCTGTTCAAACATTCAGTATCCCAGCCTCTGGTTTTTAGCTATCTCATCCGGCAAATGGTCATCTTGGGAGTTGGAAAATACAGGTATTTTGTTCATTTCTTTGTTCTTTTTTCCAGGCTCTTGACCCCTTAAATCCTTGCTAGTTCCAAACTCCAACTTTTCCCTTCCAGCTGCCACTTGCCCTCTGTTTCCCCATACATTAAATCCGAAAGTGCGCTGAGGAAAGAAGACACCTCCATATCTTCTTGTGTCTCCAGAATCTTGGCTTCTCACGTCCTGGGTGCCTTGTTTGTACTTCAGTCCCTTAAAGAGTAGATTGAGTTTTTAAAAATTTTGTGTCTTTTCCCCTTCAGCAGCAAGAGACGTAGTGTGACATGAATTACTCCATTAAGTCTGAATGGAAGTTCTATTTTCATATACTAATTTTTTTTAAATTTATTTATTTGATAGGGAGAGATCACAAGTAGGCAGAGAGGCAGGCAGGGAGAGAAGGGGAAGCAGGCTCCCTGCTGAGCAGAGAGCCCAGTGCAGGGCTTGATCCCAGGACCCTGAGATCATGACCTGAGCCGAAGGCAGAGGCTTAAGCCACTGGGCCACTCAGGTGTCCCTCAAATACTGATTTTTAATATCTAAATATAACAGATCCACTGGAAGACTGTTTTTAGTTCTAAAGATTTTATTTTTTTTATTTAGAGAGAGCATGAGTGGGGGAGGGGCAAAGGGTGAGAGGAAGAGAGCATCTCAAGCAGACTCTGTGCTGAGCACGGAGCCTGATGTGGGGCTTGATTTCATGACTGAGATGATGACCTAAGCAGAAATCAAGAATGCTTAACCGAATGATTTACCCAGGTGCCCTAACAGTTTTTAATTCTAAAAACTCATAAGTTTCTGTGGTTTTAGCTGAGAAATAGATTAGATTTCTTTGAGCGTTATTTTATCTACTTCTATGCTTAAAAAATAAACTTCTTTCTATATATCTTGTAAGAGACCTTTCCTTTGTTTCCTTAGGTCTCTGATTTATGATCTTGAGATGCATCCAACTTGAATTAATTATTGTCAAATAGGTAATTTTGCTACAGAAGGACTTGCTGTAGAAAGTATGTTTCTTTGATATGTATTCTTCTTTTCATTAAATTCATAATTGTTGACCCTTTTCACTATGTTTCTTTAAGCACTCTAGGTTTGCTTTTTAAATATAATATCAACATTTCCTTTGTGGATCTTTATCTTTTTACAAACCTAAATTGATTTTTCTGTTGGCAAATGATACTTGTTTAAAATGATCATAAAAACTTCTCAAAGAACTTCTCAATATGCCTGTTTGGGTCCCAGTTTCTTAAAAGTATTTGTGGGACACTGGAACTGATTGACTGTGACTTTATTAAGTTCTTTAAGAAGGCTTTTTAAGGAATGTGCTTAAGAAACTATCATGGCTAGTGCTGTGCCAAAGGAGAACACTTAAAACCAATACTTTTATCTTTAAAAATAAATTCTGTGCATGGTGGTGGTGTTAATAATGCTGTGCTAGGGTTTTTATTTTTAAAAAAGCTCATAAAAGCTCCTGGTGTGACTGGTTTTGATGCCAGGAATTACAGAAAGAACTTTGTAGTTCTTCTTGCATTTTGGAAATATAATTTTGTTTTTCAGAACACTCTTTTATAACCTTTTTCATATTGTCCCTGATTCTGGGTATTGCAGGCGAGATCATATGTTGGATACAGTGTTTTCTATACACAGTTGCAAATAGTATCTCTTCAGGAATTTTAACTCTTTATATAATGTGTTACTTCAGGTCTTATTTCTTCTTTAGTGACATCAGTAATGATATCAGTCCAGAAATGAGTAGGAATCTAACAGTCTGTATAAATTTTCTTCACTGGGATTTGAAAGTTCTAATGGTCTACAAATTAACAATTAAGCAATAATATTTAACAAATAATTAATTGTTCGATATTAGTGGCTCAACTTGAAGATGCAGTTCTCTTAATTTTCTTAGAATTGGCCTTGTTTTAATGGAAGGATGAAGAAAATGGTGCTATCAATAAACCCATCTAACAATATAAAATCTTTTCATTTAGCTTTAAAAATATGTGCATTTATGTCTGTTATACAGTTGTATGTCTGGATTTATTTGTTTTGTATTGCTGCTGTAACAAACTACTACAACCTTAGTGGCTTAAACAATACAATGTGTATGATCTTATAGATCTTTTGGTGAGAAATCTGACACAGGCTAAAATCTGTATTTGGGTAGGGCTTCATTTCTTTGTGGCAGCTCTAGGGAAGAATCGGGTTCCTTCTCAATTGTCTTATTGGTAGAACTGATTCTTTGAGGTGTAGGACCAAGACCCAAGTTCTAGTTTTATTACTTACTGTAAGCTGAGAGTTTTTCCTAGCTTCTGAACGCCACCACATTTCTTGGTTCCTGGACCCTTTTTCCCTGTTAAAAGCCAGCGATGCAGGGGTTGAATTCTTCTTACTGCATCTCTCTGACCCATTCTTCATCGTTCGCCACTTTTGAAGACTTGTATGTTTAAACTGGGCCCACCTGGATAATCCAGTTAATCTCCCCGTTTCAAGATCTTTACTCTTAATCAGATCTGCACAGTCCCTATTGCCAATGGAAATCGCATATTTATAGCTCCCTAGAACATGTATGTCTCTGAGAGGCTGTTATTCTGCCTACCACTTGGCTAACCTAGAATTTATAATGTTTCATATTAAAAAAACAAACAAACCTAAAACTACAACATGGAAACCTGACTCAGGGAGAAGTGAAAACCAGTCCAGCTTCATGTTCTTTACCCCAATCAACTCTCCTTCTGTTGACCTCAGGCTAGACATCAATATCACTACTTCTTAGTATGAGTCTAAGAACCTGGTTAATTGGAGTTACTGTTTTATTTTCTACCTTTCTTGTGTGGGAGAAAATCAGATGTTTTGGTTTTACAACTCTTTTAGGGGTTGTAGTAGGAATAAAAGAAAGCAATATAATAGTTTGAGTCCGTTAAGTACTTATGCCAGGTACAGATATAAGCACTACTCATTTTCTTATTCATTCCATTTACCAATTCTGAGGTAGGCACAATCATTACTCCATATTACTGGCAAAAAAGCAATGCTTAGAAACTATTTTGCGGGGCGCCTGAGTGGCTCAGTGGGCTAAAGCCTCTGCCTTTGGCTCAGGTCATAATCCCAGGGTCTTGGGATGGATCCCTGCATCGGGCTCTCTGCTCAGCGGGTAGCCTGCTTCCTCCTCTCTCTGCCTGCCTCTCTGCCTACTTGTGATCTCTGTCTGTTAAATAAATAAAATCTTAAAAAAAAAAAAAAAAAAGAAACTATCTTGCTCGAGGTTTGGCTGGTAAGTGGTACAGATAGAATTCAAATCTGGATCTTTTTAATGTTTGAACCTGTTTTCTTTATTGTGATAACATAATATCACTGCTTTTATTAAGTTCTTATGAGTATTCATGCAGATAATTTATTACTTTAAATCATTGTCTTACCAAGCGAGTGCATTTTACACTTAATTTCATTTTTGTTCATACAGGTGAAAAACCATACAAGTGTCAAATTTGCAATCAATCTTTCAGAATTAAGAAAACTTTAACAAAACACTTGGTTATTCATTCTGATGCCCGGCCTTTCAACTGTCAGCACTGTAATGCAACATTTAAGCGGAAAGACAAGCTGAAATACCACATTGACCATGTTCATGGCATAAAATCTGACGATCCTCTCAATACTTCTGAGGAAAAACTTGTATCTTTGCCAGTAGAATACTCATCTGATGATAAAATCTTTCAAACAGAAACAAAACAATATATGGACCAGCCCAAAGTTTATCAGTCAGAAGCCAAGACTATGTTACAGAATGTGTCTGCTGAAGTGTGTGTTCCAGTAACACTGGTTCCAGTTCAGATGCCTGACACTCAGAGTGATCTGGTGCGTCATACAACCACACTCCCATCTTCTTCTCATGAGATCTTATCGCCACAGCCACAAGCAACTGATTATCCCCGAGCAGCTGATTTAGCTTTTCTGGAAAAGTATACTCTCACTCCTCAACCTGCAAATATAGTTCATCCAGTACGACCTGAACAAATGCTAGATCCTAGAGAACAGTCTTATCTTGGAACATTGCTAGGCCTTGATAATGCTACTGCTGTACAAAGTATTTCTAATAATGAGCATCATTCATGAGTAAATCTAAACATTCCACAGACTTTTTTGATGGTTTTGTGCTAATGGTAGCCTAGACTGATGGCTTTTAAGTTAGTAAGGCTGCTATTTTTCATTTTCTCTAGTTTCTCCAGTCCTCAGAACCATTTCAAATCAAGAAAAATATATGTATCTCTGTTTACTGAACATAATATTGGGACACATTTTGAGGTATAATATTTGAAATGAACATTTTTATGATTTTTAAAGATAACTTAGTGCTAACTTTTAATGGTTTCTCAAACTTTTCAAAATTATTAGCTGTTGACTTTGTGGTTTTGTTTTTGGGTTTGTTCTTAATTATCCATGGAAATTTTCATTCTTTAGTTTTAGTCTGTTTTTCTCCCTTGACCATCTTCTAAACAAGATTAAGGACTGACCATGTAGCCTTTAAGAAAGAATATAAGAGTACACTGATAATTGCAACTCTTCCTTATTAAGATTCATTATTATTTCTTCCACATTTTAAAAAGCTGAAATTAGGAATTTAAATTTATAGGGAACTCTTGGCTATTTCCGTGGTTTTTTTTTTTTTTAAATGTGGCCCTAATTTCAGGTTATTATTAATCCTTTGGTCTTTTCACAAAGTCAAAGCGAGGAAGCTAACTTAATGTAACAATAGTTTGTCAAATGAAACCTAGAAATGAAATAATTATCCAAATAATTGGTTTTTGCCTATGCTTCAGTTATTATGAATAAGAAATGCAAATTTTTAATGTATAGGCATTAAATTATACAAGTTGAAAATGTATTAAAGGCAAATTATTACAGTTTTAACTAGATAGCTTTAAAGGTAAGTTCATCTTTTAAATTTTATCATTTAAGAAACATCAGCAATACATCATAGCATGTATCTTCATCTCACTAAAGGAGGGGCAATTATAACTAATCAATGAAATTTAATTAACAAGCTACTTTTGGTCTCATTTACTTTAGCTAATAAAATTGTGGGAAATAGAACCTAGATATTTCATATATAATCATAAGGGAAGGTGCCAAAGTATAAAATTCATGTCTAACTAAACTTAATGTTTACTTTAATTAAAGGGAACCACTACTTGTATACAGATTTACATGTAATCTAGACTTTTGTCTTGCTTTTCACATAAGCCCAATATCTGTAATTATCCTTGATTTTTTATTTTTGTAGGAGATAAAAGTTGAGGACTTGGTGAAAAGAAATAGCAGTTAGAGCAAAAACCACACTGATAAAAATTAGTCGAGGAAAAAAGTCAGTTAAAATTATAAAATACCTTTAAAGATGTGCACTTTCCATGTTTTCAAGTCAATTTAAACTTAAACTAGGATAATGTTTCCTAGTAGAGCTGCTTGAAGGATTAGAATAGGCAGGGTTGATTTATTATTAGCATGTCATTTGTATGTAAACTACTGGAAAAGAGCAATTTTAAGAGTTTTCTAGTTCAGTTTTGTTTACACTCCTAATTGCTTTAAGCACTTTTTTTTGTGTAAACTGTAAAGTCTGGCCTAGCCCTTGTGAAAAAAATCACAAATAAAATAATGAAGTTTTAATGAATAAAATTTAACCACTTAATAATGGGGAAACTTGTTTGCTGAAGCACTTAAGAAATGAAGGTACTTGACAGGAACATGTGGAAATAAAAGAAAAAAAAATGTTGAGATTGAGGCAGTTAACCAAAGTAGCTCATATAAGTAACAAAACCAACCTGAGTTTTGCCTCAGTTATCAAGGTTTGGTTGTAATTAATCTAGGACCAGTAGATATAATTAATGCATTCTTCTTTTTAAAAGGTTCTTACTTTCGTGTGGAAATGTTATATCTGGGGTACTTACATGATTGAACTTGACTATATGAGGTACTATTAGTCTGTTAGTCTTTCAAATTGACTTTTAAAAGTGCAGATCTTTATGATTTTTATCATAAAGACCAGCAAGACTTTTAATTTAAAAACTTACTATAATGAGATGAAATAATACCTAAAAGTATACCCTGCCTTACATATAAACCATCGTAGAAAAGTTTGGACTTACAAAAAGGCAGATGGTATGTATGTGTCTGTGTATGGTATATTATATGCTTGGTAGCAAGAAAGAAAGAGGGTGTTGCATTTTCACATTGAAAAGAATACTTTGCTTTTTGAAGGTATTTACTTTAGGATTCTTTTAATAATAATTTCCTAATGCTTTAAATATGTAATTTGATTGTAGGAGTTGGTTTACAGTATAAAACTTTTCTGGAACACATTTCTTATATAAAGTGAAATAGAATGATATTTAGTTATTGTTGTAGATAAACTTGAATACTGGTTTAGTCTTTCATAAAATGCTTTCAGTTATCTCGTTTAACCTCATAACCAGCTCTAAAAGAGAAAGGACATGTTATATTCCCATTTTAGAGATGAAGAATCTGAGGTTAAGATAAAGGACTCAGTTAAGCTCACATCATTAATAAATGTCAGAGCTACTAATGGGGAAAGCAAGCTAGCATTAATAAATGCTTATTGTGTGCCAGGCACTATATTTTCTCATGTGATCGTAAACAGTCCGGGAATTAGATAGTATAATTCTTATGAAGAAATTACTCAGCGGGTAGATAAACACACACAAATCTGCTGCCTCTAATTTCCAAAATTAGAATATAGGAAATTTTAAAATTGTGAAAACCTCATGGATTTGGGCAAACTGAATGTATATAAGTTGTTGAAGTTGGCACAAAAAATATGTAATGAGGCCTACTCTTTTCAGTTAACCTTTTATAATATTTAATTTGGAGTATTTGGACAAATGTTCCATTAACTCTAAAATCCATTAATTTTGTAACTATACTTAAAATGTTGAATCTTGCAACTAAGCTTAGCCTCATTCAGAATTTTTATTTTACAAACATAATTTATTGTTTTAAATTAATTTTTTAGCTGATAGCAGTTAGCACTTAATATGTAAATTGAATAATTTATCAAGTGTAGAAATTTGTTAACCTAATCAGTTTTTACTTAAATGCACCAAAGATTTTTTAGTAGGTATTAAAATAGCTTAAGAGAATTAAAATTCTTTGTTGTTTGAATAAATATTTGTCCAAAGAAGCACAGTTGATGTCCTAGGATTATGGATTTTAAAAAAAAATCATTAGTTTGAATACTAAGATTAAGTGTTTGTGTTTATATGTATAAAAATAAAAACAGAAGAAAATACTCTGGGAATAGTCATACTGACAAACCAGTTACAAGTAAGAATACTCAGTTTTCCTCAGTTTAATTAATTGAATGTTATCTTTAAGTGGACACTATTAAATGCTAAATAATAAGCTTATTTTTTACACTACACTATTAAAATAATTTTGCCTTAGAATTTTTTTTTAAGACAAGTCAAAGTTATTTTTATAAGAAACCCCACCTATTTTTTGCAGCCTGTAATACCATTTAAGATTAACATTTGTTCTTCATGCCAGCAAGATTTAACTAACAACTGTAAAGGTAATTATCTTTGTATACTTTTAAGTAATTTAGTCATTTATTGCTGGAGAAAAGGAGTAGAATAAATAGGGTTTTAAACTGGTGCTTTATTAAGTGACTTCCTTTTAAGTGATTGTAGGTCATGAAATAGGTACACTAATAATATTCTGTCAACTTTAAAAGTTATCAAGACATCTTTGCAGAGTGACTATAAACTGTTAAGGGCTAATAAGTAATTAAATATCATTCATTGCTTTTCACTCTTTAATTGCAAACAAAAACATAATTAAACTGGTATGTTTGTAAGTTTGAGTTCTCTTCCTGCCAGATCATTTTAACATATTGATGAAAAGTCAGATTTAGAGCATTAGCTCTTTGACAGTGTCCTTTTTATACCCACTCTTTTCTGAATCGAATGTTTTGTGCCTTTTCACTGTGTTGTAGTTGCTTCAAATTGATTCTGCTGGCTAGATTGTACTGGTTAATAAATGATTTTGATTTTGTTGTTGTTATGGGTTTTATGTTTGTGCTACCTGCTGGTCAGGCAGCACTTTTTTTAGATTACTTTATGATTATTTAGGAAAATGGCACTAAGTACTAGTGTGAACATTTGTTGTTTTTTTTTTTAATCTCTTTTGTGGCCTTTATAGTTACTGTGAAGGCACTCCAGGGCCTGTCTCTAGATGCTTACTAGAGGAATCTGACAAATAAAATAAAATGAGTAGTGTGTCTGCCTCTCTGTCTTCTCCTCCCACTCACCCTCCTATTCCTTTTTAAAAATAATCTGTTCCCATAACTACACAGCTCTACATTGAATGGCTTCTCATTTCAGTTTGCCTAAAACTGAACTAGAGGTGATGGCTTGAGATGAGTTTCTCATTAGGAGCAGCAACATCCCAACCAACATGCAATTTGAGTTGATGAACTCAGGAAAAATCAGGACTTTTAAAGTCCTATTTGGATTATTCTAAGATTCAGTGCCAAATTTGAAGTGACTAAAAATGTATTCTTTAATAAGGAACAAGTAGCATTTCTAAGACTTTAAATAGTATTATGATAAATGTTACTTGTGATTAGGGTAAATAATGGATAATGTGAGAATAATTTTCTAAATGATTTCTAGGAACTATAGGCAATTCTTCCTTAGAGCTTCCCCCTTTCTTTTGCACATTCCTCTCTTGGTAAAGTCTGTAGTGTTCTTTTGGGGGACTTACCCCCTTGTTTCCTCTAATGTTATTTCAACTTAAAGATACTTTTATCCTAGAATATTAGCATGCTTTCTGCCCTTCTCTTTGGAAGTAGCATTAATAAGATAGAAGTAATAGGATTAGCTTGTGTGGAAGATGAGAGAAAGAAGGTCTTGGTAGAGAGAGTGACTATGTTTTGTTTACTCTTCATGTTTCATTCAACTTGCTATGTATTGATCTTAAATCTATGACTATTGAAGAATCCCAAGACAATTTAAATTTAGCCTCTGCAGCCATTTATACAAAGAGAAAATAAGAATTATATTCAGAGAATAGAGGTTATACAAAGATGGATGTATCTTTTTTTAAATCTTAAGTAAAAAAGTAATTTCAGTGCTTGCATTGTTGTTGGAGGTTCTAAAACATTTCTTGAATGAAGAGCATGTATACTTCTCATTGTTACTTTGCCTCTTTGCTTGGTATTCCTGCTTGTGTTAAAGTTGGACAGTGTACTGTGATGTAATTACAAAATTTTTATTCCAACAATTGGACTTTTCTTATCCCTATAGATACAACTGTATTACAATAGATTGAGTGTGGCTGCCAAAAAGAGTGAGTACAGAGGTGGGCATTTCGCTGCTCCATGTTGTATAGTTAAGTGTTATAATTTAGGGGATTTATGATGTACATTAAAGTGGAAAATGCTTTTGAACTTAGCCTTCAGTCTCAAATCATAAGTTTTGTTTTTAATCATTAAAGGACACTTAAAAGCAATTACAAAGAAATCTAAAATTTCAAAATTCATTATTTTGTCAACTGTGTGTGAAGTATCTTGTGAGTTACATAGATATTTTAGCCGTCTCATGTTTCAAAAGTACAAATGTCTTTATAGAAAAATTCAGTTCTCTGTGAAGACCAGGAAGTGTATTGTATATTGAACTAGTTCTTTGTGTTATTTTGATATTTAAAATAAATATAAAATTCTTTGGTCCTAATAAAGTATTAGGTTTTATTGAACACCTTTTAACTGCATGGGAATGCAGAATATGCTCTGCATGTCTCCTTAAAAATTGAATGCAAAGACCATAAGCAAATGTAAAATCTGGCTTTCCGTACAGTTCCATCCATAAACCAGGCTTTTCCTTCCTTTACGAAATGGTCAAAAGGAAATACCCAATTTTCCCAAGGTGCAGATTGAAAGAGAGGCTGCAAAATACAGTTGACTCTTGAATAATGTGGGTGTTGGGGGAACTGACCCCTGATGTAGTTGAAAATCTGTGGATAACTTTTGACTCCTCAAAAAGTTAATTACTAATAGCTTATTATTGACGCAAAGTCTTACCTATAACATAACACATTTTGCATGTTATATGTGCTATATACTATATTCCTAACAATATAGTAAGCTAGAGAAAATAAAATGTTATTAAGGAAATCATAAGAAAGAAAAACATTTACAGTACTGTAAAAAGTCATGTAGGTGGGCCAGTGCAGTTCAAAGCCATGTTTTTCTAAGGTCAACTGCATTTGCAAAGATGTGACTGGGATGTAGGGAAACAATCAATAATGCAATACCCTGGAACTATTAACAACTATGTTATTCCCTCCCCCAGATCCAAAGGGTTGAGGGGAAAGACCCACGGGGAGAGGGCACGTCTTCAGCTGTGTGTCGCTTTTAATGTTGAGATGTAGTCAGCCCAAGGTGGTAGAGGGGAGGAAGTAAGTACCCTCACCTCCCTCTTCTCCCTCAGTGACCTTCTTTGAAGCAAAACAGAAGCCACAGAGTAAAACTATTAATGTAACATATACAGAATACAGATCAGAATCCCACAGCAAAGAACGGTCTGGAAAATAGCGGGGAGTGGAAGTGGAGGTACAAATAAAATCTATCCAGCACAGTTCATTGTGCTTCTTAAAAAAAAAAAAAATTGAGTTAATAGCATTTCTTAATGAAAAACTATGAAGGGAAAACAAGCAAAATGTGCTA